TTTTCATAATCAAAAATCTGATTTTCATCATCAAACAAAATGAATCTGTCTCAATAAATTCACACTGCATAACCACATCTTTGGTTCAGGTTCCCTAGTCACACCCAAGTTCGTTTCATGACAAAACTAAGTGATGAAGGCAATAAAACAGAATCTGTATGACAACATGAAGTCGTCTCAAAGATATCCCGAAGTAATATAGCTTCACTAATAAACATATTATAAATAATAAGCAGCCAGCTCCATTTCCATTAGCCACATAATTGTACAATATATTTTACTACACCATTAAAAATATCAGTGTAGATGGCATACAAAAATCAAAAATAAAACAATAATAATGGCAAATAAATTTGCTTAATGGAAACATCGATTTCAAAAATGCTTGTTTTTTAATAAATAGTTTTGGTGCTGGGATTCCGCATGACACGAGGCACATGATCAACAACTGAATGCTGCCCACTGGCACAAACCATGAAGAAGAAGACAGCAGGAAGTAGTTGAAGGGTGATTGTGTGGCATGTTTTTAATGACTTATTGTATGCACAAATGTATTCTTGCGTGACTTCCATTTTATTTTTTATTTAATGGAAACACTGCAATTGTGAAATGATATATTTTTTTCTTCTATATTAGCCGAATCACAACTACTGGCTGTCGTCAGTCTAGAAACGGTTACAAAATGAAAACTCAATTGAATTTTTTTGGTGTGTCCTAGTCAAACTCTGGAGTTTAATCTTATTGTGATGCTAAGGCTTGATCTTACACAGGTCATTGGTGAACTAAAACAATCTAATTTGGCTTTTTAAAGGCAGATTTTTTGAATTGCATTTAAATATTTCCCTCCATCCTTCCTACAGTCATCATGGCTTCTACTTTTATGAGCAGTAGAATTGAAGGAGGTTCATGCAGGTTTATTTCTTTTTTCCCCAAATAAATGAACCCTGTGGCTGCAAATCAGATAAAGTGTTGCTTTTATCCAATGGAGGCTTTAAAAAGACAGCATCTGAAAACAGTTCAATGTCAGCAGTAAAAAGCAACTGACAGAAAACTCAGTCAGATACCTTTAAGTGGACTTCCTGCTGAGTAAATGTTGAGTGTTCTGTGACCCGGATTTGGCAGCATGCACTATAAGCTACCACTTACGACACAACGCTCAGCTAAAACTTTACAGCAAAGAAAGCTTAGTGTGGGGTGAAGCATAGGGCAAGACTGTACATTAACTTTTCCTCCTTTGAGGACAAAAACAGGAAAAGGAGTTACAGTTAAACATGGATCTGTTGTTTTTAGTGTATATTGGATTAGACTTAGGAATAATATAAAATAAACTATTTCAGAGTGAGATGTTTTGATGAATAAATCTGCAGATTTTTTTTTTAAATTGGCTTTTTTTTTTGCAAGGTCATATTGCTAAGTCACAGCAACTTTCTTGATTGAAGCCAAGAATGACTCTTATTGTTGTACTACTTGTTGATGTGTGGTTTAATCAAACCCTGCTCATGAAAGGATTTGTTTATAGTTACAAAAAGTAGTTAAAAAGAGACGAAATGACAATATCTGGATAGAAATTTTAAATATGGAGCCAAAATACAATTTTCCTCTCACGTTTTGTTAGTTGACTGGTTATTAGAGACATTAAAATGAACTGATTGATGATTCACAGACAGTCTCATGTGTGTCAGGAGTACATTGGTACAGCAGCCTGCTGTACATCACACAGATCAACTGCAATTTCCATTAAATAAGAAAAAAGACTAAAATCACCTAAAAAATAAGTTTGTTCATAAAGTCAGTCAAAAGAAAACACTCCTTGCCATAATGCTTCAACAACTTCCTGTTTTCAAGTCATGGGTTAGGTCAGCGGCAGTAATTGGATAGTTATACAGTCAGTGGAAACACAGTTGGCGAAAAAGTGACGATCCAATTTTCAGATGAATTGTTCCCAAACCTGATCACCTGCCTTGCGTTGTAAACCAAAGCTGTTCATGTACATGGCAATAATTCATTCACTGGGAAGCCAATCGTTGGAAAACATTACCTAGACAATAAGAAACTCACACAGAATGTATTTCTAAAATAACTTTAAAAGTTCTGAGTGCTTAAAATACTTGTATTTTTATTTAGTATGGTTTTTTCCTTAGAGACCACTTGATTGATCAGTCAGTCTTTCGTTGCCATGTTTCATGCAGGCGCAGTTGCAGTGATTTGGCTGCTGCGTGGAGAAGACGCACAAAACTAGGATAAAAAAAACAAAACAAACAATGATCATATGTTTTGGGACTTTAATCTGTCACATCAGTCCCCCTGGTCTGCTAGGCAAAGATAGAAGGATGAATAGCACACATAAAAGCGTATCTACAGTAGGCGCATATATGATTACAACTTCAGGGTCGGAGCTGCAACAGCAGTCAAATGGGGACATGACAACAGTGGCACCCGCCGCTGTCTCTGAAGATAAGGAGGATGTAATAAGTGTGTCCACACTTTTGGCCCACACACGCGTACACAAACACACACAGACAAGGTAAACAGAGCGCAGAATGATGAGATGCATACAGAGTGGAGAAGAGTCATTCAGAGCACAGAGTGGGATGCAGATGAGACGCCTGCAGCAGACTGAAAGAGTCAGTCGGAGGAAGGGAGAGATGGGATGCAGCAGCAGCACTACAAAGGGAATACCAATCAATTTAACATCGGGCGATCCCAAATAATGACAAATGCTGGAGATAAAAATGGACACAGAGTCATTCTCTGGCATTTGTGGAGAGAACAGTGCTTTAATTTAGCTCAATGCACTTTGTTGGACTCATTTGTTGTGTTTACCCTTCATCACATGAGAGGAAGTTTGATTTGAGGTGAAATATTTCAATGCAGTCAAAAGGTCTTTGCCACTGTACAGATTTCAAATATTCAAGCAAAATCTGAAATCAGGCAACAGTAACATAAAGAAATACAGAAACATTCTAATTCAAGCAGATGATTTAGATTACTAAGGCCACCTGTCTGTGCAAAAATAATCAGACCTTGAGCCCTTTTCTGCAACGACTATCAGAGGATGTTTATGGAGTCCTTTTCATTCAGATTCATTGCTTTTGAGCATCAGCGCCCTGTTGGAGGCACCAACATAGCACCTGAATTTAAGCAAAGTCTTTGACTTGACCGCTTCAAAACCTCCATTGTGCTTTTTTGAACCATTAGAAAGTGGACATTCTATAGTACTGCAGATCATTATTCTGCATGACCTAAGTGATATTGGCCTCTGCATGGGTCAGAATGATGGCCAGACATTGTCAGTGATTTAGTCTACTGGCCTGCAGAATTCATTGTTTCATCGATTACAAATTGTCACTCATGTCCTGAATCGGAGTGACAACCATGGATTCATCACACGACCCCCTTATCTGATTGACAGTAAGTGGGCTTTTTTCTAGAAGGTTGATTTTATTCCAAATGTTACAGGAAATCCATTTTCCAAAAAAGTTCAGTTTCTTGCAGTCAATGCAAATACATATGTGTAAGGGTATGTGGATGCCTGATTGTGGAGTAAAGCGTGCCGCGGATGCAGACCATTTAACATTTCAATCATCAGTCCACAGAATGTTTTCTAAAAGGTTTTGGGGATTATCAAACCGGTTGGAGCGCAGCCGGTTTGATCCGGCTGCGCTCCAGCCCGCCGCCTCGCCTGCAGGGCGTGGAGTACGTCCTCAACGTCACGGCCACAGACGACAACGCCTCGGGTGGGCCGCAGGCGCTGGCCTCCATGGCCAAGTTTTACAAATCTGTTATAGTTGTGAGCCAAAGGCCAAGCACACTTAGTTAAGGCAGCACAATGATCTACAGGACACTAGCAAATCCACTTTTCTAACTAATCCACCATTAGCAATGGCCTTTTGTGGATCGTTGACCTCAGCTTCTATAGAGAAGTCTGTGGAGTCAGTCAGCAGTTTGTGATGGGATGAGCTTTACAGCTTTACTTATGTCATAATTACAGTTAAAATTTTTCAGCCATTGCTCATGTCCAAATTTACTCCATCTGGCTTCTTTTGGTGCAGAATTAACATCACTGAAGTCGTGATAGAAGTCGTATGAAATGTGACATGACAATTCACACTGCAGACGCTTCGATTTAGTTCCACATGTGGAATTGGGACTGATTGGATTTGATATTTTGGGTGAAAAGTTTGGAGTTGAGCCGTTCAGACAGTCATGATATTGTTTGCGTTTTGACAAAAAAAACTTAAGTTTGGTTTTCATTGGCCTGCTGTGTGAACATCGCCTAGAGCAGAAAATCAATATGGTTTAGATGCTAAAAGGTAAAAGGTTTGCCTTTTATTGTGAATTTTATGAGCTCTCAATAAATGCAGGTGGTTAACATTTTTTTTATTAATAATAAATTAATGATAAAACCCGTAAAAAAGCTGTTTGTTTCAGCATTCAATAAGTGATTCTTAAAATTGAATTATGTTGAATAGCTTTTCAGTCCATCCAGGATTTTTTGATTGTTTTTGTGTTTTTTTGCAATTAAAGTCACAAGTTTTGTGGTGCTCATTTAGAAATATTTATACAAAAACTTTACAGTATTTGCGCTAATGTGTGATGCGCTAATGTAAATGTGCTTTTTTATTAATCACCATATTGACAACGTGACATCCTGGAAGGCTGAACAGTCACTTATACCCAATGTTTTTGGCCAATTTTGAGAAAAATTTGCCGTAAAATCTGGAAAAAAATGTGAATTTTGTATGAATTTTGTGGATTTGTGAAAAACTGACTGGATTTATTGATCTAACTTGGAATCCAGAGGGCCATATAAAAAGCTACGATGAGCCAGATTTGGCCCCCAGGCTTTGAGTTTGTCACATGTAATCTAGTGGAAAGAAAATCAATGGAAGGCTCTTTGTTCGTTGGAGGTCGGTCATATTTACTAAAATGTCTGAAGTCGATCCTCCATAAAGATGTGGTAGTGGGCTAACTGCTCCCTCCGCTGTGTTTGGCTGCAGGTTTGATCCGGCTGCGCTCCAGCCCGCCGCCTCGCCTGCAGGGCGTGGAGTACGTCCTCAACGTCACGGCCACAGACGACAACGCCTCGGGTGGGCCGCAGGCGCTGGCCTCCACCGCGCAGGTCATAGTGGGAGTGGACGACGTGAACAACAACAAGCCCGTCTTTGAACAGGTACGACGCACCATCACACGTTGCCGTTATCTAGTGCAATTTTAACTCGTTCCACTTCCCCAAGTGTTTTGTTTTCATCTTCCACAGCAGCTCTGCGGTTTTATTCCACCTCTCCTCGACGAATCTAAAACTTTCCTCTCCTAATATCGTTCTGCTGCCTTTCCATCCTGTGGAAGTGTTCTCTATCATTTATCTGTATCCATATCTTTGGCTTCCTCTCTCGTCTTCTCATTAGTCCCTATCTTTCTCCTCTACAGGAGCGATAAGCGAGCATGACCCTCATCTCTTTCCTCGCATCTCCATCCTACATCATCTTGGTCTTTTAATTAAGGCTTTAAGGGATGGGGGAAATCCCGACCGACCTGCTCTGGAAGAGCTGCCTCTCCACCAGCTTTTTTTTCTTGCCATGTTTCAATTTTAAATGATGTGACTTTTCAGCCCCCTGAGGTATCCCAAGCGAAGAATAGGAGGTGTGTGTGTTGCTGCTGAGTAAAGCCTACTTACTCTCTTGTGGGAAGAAAGTGAAACGGGAAGTGTTTTCCTTTCTGCTTCATATCCTGTTAGCCAGGCAACAAGAAGACGAAGGGGGATTCTGTGTCTTTAAAGGGATAATGTTGGACCAATGGAAACCAGCTGCAAAAGTCAAAATTGAAAACCAACCTCACTTTTAAGCTGCTAATAATTCCAAATTTGGTTAGATCGAAGTCGCTTTTGTTATGTTTTTGTCTCTCGCTGAAACGTTACAGCTGAAAATACAGTCAACTTCACGCTGAGTTTTCTCTTGAGGGTTCTCTGTTGTGTATTCCACTTCAATCACTCTTTTCTTCCTCTTTAACCAGAGGCTGATTGAAAAAGACAAACAGTCTCCTGGTTGCTGACATTTGCCTCCTCCAAGACAAACTATGAACAAAAATATGAAAATATGAAAAGATAAGAAGTTACTTATCAGGTAGTTTTGTCTTATTTCAACTGTACTGAGGTTTTAAATGACACACAGGTAGAGTGGACTCTTTTTTTTTGCGCCTACAGGATTTATTATTTTTACTTATTTATTTGTTGTATTTCGAAATAGAGAGCATTGTACATGTCCGATTTTCATTTTTATTCCACTCCAGTCAGGCACTTTGGTCTACTACATAAAGTCTCAATAAATATAAAAATGTTTATTCTTTGTAATGTGGCAAAATGTGGAAAAGAACGTGACTCAGTTTGTAAAACACCATAGCTCATTTAGTGAAGACAACCCGGGGTTAGTCTCTTTTTCCTCTGTCGCTCATAGTTGGCATCTGGACAGTGAAGCCAACAGAAACCCCTCATCCTGTTTGGATTCCAGATCTTTGGACGTGCCACAGCCTCTCGGGCCTCTGGGCAGCATTCAGTAGACCAAGACAGCAAAGGAAAGAGAGAAAAGCACAGAAAGGTGGTGATTCGGAGCGTAACAGGTTCTTGTATTTCCCAGTGGCAGTGGCATTGTAGACATAGAGCTACTGATTGCATCCATTACTAACCTTTAGTTAGTAATCTCGTCTTCTCATTAGTCCCTATCTCATGGTGTGGCTCGTCAAATAATAGGAATTTATAAAGCAAAATGAATGCTGCAGCTATGGGGTTACAATGCCCAGCATGCCACTTTATGTAATAATATAATAAAAATTTTCACCAGTTTTTACAAAAATGCAGAGATTAGTCCTTCTTAAATTACTTTTTTTAGAAATGATAATGTTATAAAGCTGCTTTATGTAATAAAGAGTAACAAACCACTGTTTATGGCTATTCTAATCAATATCATTTCTAATAAAGATCATGTTTATTTTGATATTTTTACCCCTGAAGCTAAGGTGGCTGGACACGACATATTTGGACTGTTGTAAAGATAAAGAAATTATGAATCAATGACCTGCAGCAGTACATAGCTGCATAGGGGAGTTCTGATTTTGTTGCACCCTACAGTTTCCTGTTGGACAGTTATTGAGACTGCAACAATCTCTAACAATTTAAATATTTAGCACTTGGTTGGTTGTTTTATCATTAATATTATTTTTTTCAGCATTTAAAGTTAATATCAATTCAGTAGTTTACAGGCAGAGATTTGTTCACTGTACCCTGAATAATCCCACCACACATCTAGCCTTACACTTCACCTGCTTAAAGCATCTCATTACATTTTCTTTTTTGTTTGTTTTGGTTTGTTTTTGTGTAAACCATTTGCTCTGAATAACCTCTGAACAATTTGTTTCGCATTAACAAGCCGTTTGTGACACACCGCACTCCCCACGACCCTCTGGGTTAATTGTGTTGGCTGAGTAACTCGATCTAATTCACAAAGTGTTTGCTCCCTGTGAAGAGGGACGAACTAAACGGAACACGAATGGATCTGAAAACGAAGCGGCGACAAGGGATGAACGGTCTGGCTGCCTTCCCTAAAGCGTGCGGGACATCAGTACCAAAAAAATAAAAAATACAACAAAAAAAAACATGAGTTGAGGACTAAAGAGAAGAATGTGAGAGCTGCACAGTGGGAGATAACAGCCGAAGTGTCAGCACTGTTGAAATGAAGAGAATAATGCTGTACATGTCTGACAACTGCAGTGATGGGTCTGAACAGAAAATAAAAAAATAAAAAAAATATCAAGAACAACTTCTTCGTATGAATCCCACTGGAGCAACTATATGTACATAAAGCTTTTGGTGGTGATTATAGCAGATTGGAGCCGGATGAGATTTGACAACCTCTCAAACCGCATTTCTGTGTCACAAAGAACACTAATTCTAATATTAGTTGTATATTCATCCATCCATTGTCTTCCGCTTATCCGGGGTCGGGTCTCGCGGGTAGCAGCTTAAGAAGGGAGGCCCAGACTTCCCTCTCCCCAGCCACTTGTTCCAGCTCCTCCGGGGAAATCCAAAGGTGTTCCCAGGCCAGCTGAGACACATAGTCCCTTCAGCATGTCCTGGGTCTTCCCCGGGGCCTCCTCCCGGTGGGACATACCCGAAACACCTCACCAGGGAGGCGTCGAGAAGGCATCCTGACCACATACCCGAGCCACCTCAACTGGCTCTTCTCGATGAGGAGGAGCAGCGGCTCTACTCTGAGTCCCTCCCGGATGACCAAGCTTCTCATCCTATCGCTAAGGGAGAGCCCAGCCACCCTCTGGATAAAACCCATTTCGGCCGCTTGTATCTGCGATCTTGTTCTATCGGTCATGACCCAGAGCTCATGACCATTGGAACAGAGATCGATCGGTAAATCGAGAGCTTCACTTTCTGGCTCAGCTCTCTCTTAGCCATGACGGACCAGTACAGTGTTTGCTTCACAGCAGACGCTGCTCCAATCTGCCTGGCGACTTCTCGCTCTCCTCTTCCCCCATTCGTGAACAAGATCCCGAGATACTGGCGCTATATAAGTTGTATATTAATTAATTAATTAATATCGGCCATCTTTTCTGCAACATACACTGTGAAATATTACAACATTAGTTATGTCTGCTAACTTTTACCCTTTAAGTCAAATAAATATAGCATCTTTTAGAATTTGAAATCATATGTTAGTGAAAGATAAACTGAAGTTATATGTTTTTTTTTGTTGTAATTTGTAAATATTTTCTTGTTATGTCGCTAAGAGTAACTTAAAAATAGGATTTTTAAGTTAGCAGTACTGCGACAGACTGGCGACCTGTCCAGGGTGACCCCGCCTCTCGGCCGGAACGCAGCTGGAGATAGGCACCAGCACCTCCCGACCCCGTTAGGGAGAAGAAAATGGATGGATGGATGGAAGTTAGCAGTAAAAACATTAAAAGTAAACGGCAGGAGTGGGAGCTATTTTCTGCCATTTCCTCTTGTGTGTTATTATAGCATATGCTCATTTTCATGCACATGTGCATTAAATATTTATTTAATGCAAGTGTGTGATGCCGTTAGTAATAAGTATTAATATCAGATTTTTTATCTTTCCTGAAACTTTTACTTTTTACTGTTATGAATGTATTTTAATTATAGGTGTACTTTGCAGAACACTACATGCACTAGAAGTACTACAGTATGTTAGAAGTGCTGTACTATGTCAATCAAATAAAACTGGTGTCATAAAGCATTCATTTTCTGGATAGTGTTTTAATGATAATTCAGCTTACTGTTTGTGAATTGTTGCGATCACATGACTGTTTTAAAGGAAATTATTTTTATTAACATTTCTTTAAAGCCAACAGAAGTACCAGCATTGGTAGTTACACCACTGTTTGAGGAAAATACTCAGAAATAATCCAAAAGAACCAACTTTAACAAACCTTTGTCTTTGTCAAATAGAAACAATCTCCATGCAAGCATTCTACTTTTATTTTTCATTGCCTTTTTTATTAACACATTTACCATTCCACTCATTTTTACCCTTTCGAAACGTTTAACACACACACATCGTTGTCTTTGCTGTTTTCTCTCTGCTCAGTGTCAGCAGTACAGAGAGAGCACATCGGTTCTGGAGAACCAGCCAGCGGGGTCGTTCGTTCTGCAGGTTCATGCTGTGGATGCAGACGAAGGCTCCAATGGGAAGGTCACATACGGCTTTATGCACAAAGACTCTACAGTTCCTGCATTCAGTATCCACCCTGATACTGGTACGTAATCTCAACTCACGCTTGAAGTTTGGTGGCGGGATTCTGTCAGCAGATTAATTTGAGATAATTTGGTGCTCTGTCTGATCTGCATTGCCACCCTAACGTTTCCAGGTGTGATCGTGACTGCCAGGAAATTTGATCGTGAGCGTCAGCGGGAATATGCGGTGACTGTGACTGCCACTGACCAGGCAGCCGACCCCCTGATCGGCATCTGTCAGCTCAATATTCTCATCCTGGACCAGAACGACAACAGCCCGAAGTTTGAGAACCTCCGATATGAGTGTAAGAAGATATTGTGTGTCCCGCTGATTTTGTGTCCTTTCCTCCCCGTACACAAATGAAGGACTTTGGGCTGCAGGATACTCTTCTCTAGTTCCATGGCCTCATTTCATCTTGGGCCTTGATTTTATTGGACAACTGGAACACTCCCACTTAAGAGACATCCTAACCCTCCATCAGCCCCTAAATGTTATATACATTTGTTGTTTGGTGCTGTGGTTCCTTAGTTCTGTGGGCTTTTTTTCTCTTTCTGCAGGTGTAGAAGCAGATTTCTGGTGTGTTCTTCTTGTGTTTTCTCTGAAGTTTACTTCTGAGAACAGAGCGCTGCTGTGTGTTTGCAATCTTCTTCTTTGCATGCGGGTCGCTTCGGGGTCGTACACCGTTCTCACAGATATCTGATATTGGTTACATCATGCAGCAGTATGAATCCCAACCCCCACTCCTGATGAAATCTGAGTTCAGCAAAAACAAATCAGAATTGAGCAATAAGACTTGCTGTGTGAACAGTCTACACCATGTTGTCAGACATGGTCTTTTTAAGTTATTTATTTAATGTCTGGCTAGAAATCAGGCCTCACCAAAAATGTGGTCATTCATAAATTAAAAATGATTTAACAAGAGAGGACAGTGAAGTTCTCACATTGGGTCTTGCTGGTTTGTATATGGTGTTTCCTTAATAAATGAATTCATTAATTGGAAGCAAGTTTATCTTTTATATTTCAATTTGTTTCAGATAATTAGTTCAATGATCTTAAACGTTTGGAAACAAAAGGAAAATGTAGAAGGAATCTATAAAGGGGCTAATTCTTTTAACGGCATTGCGCGTACTTTTGAGCATACTGAAGGAAGTGAAACATATACAAATAACTCAGCTTCCATTTTTTCTCAGACTTCCTTCGTGAGGATACAATGATCGGAACTAGTTTCCTGCGGGTGGCAGCCCATGACGATGACTTTGGCAGCAATGCAGCCGTCACATACACCATGTCTGGTGAGCAGCCGGAGTACCTCAGGGTCAACCCGCTGACGGGCTGGGTGTACGTCAACCAGCCCATCTCTCAGGTAAATATTAGCCGAGTTCAGGCTGATATTTAAATCTGTGGAAATTTAAAGTTCAAGAACAAAAAGCTTTTATCATAAACTAATGCTGTGCTATTTGCACAAAAGCTGCGAAGAGCTAATTTGTGATTAATGAAAGACAAATAGTGGTTTAAAAAACAGTTAAAGTGTTGTAATGGAAAGTGTTGCTACTTAGATGAAACTCAAACGTTCACTTGCTACAGTTTCTCAAGAAGAATGTCTGGATTTACGGTCAAACTTAATAACTTGTTAGAGGATAGAATTAAATGTTGGTTTGTCACTAATAAAAAATGATTTTCGTCAACCTGAAGCAAAGAGAGAATGTTTTTATCTTAGCATTTTATTGCTGACAGTTGTGGTTCTATCTTCACCAGAGCCCCATTAACAGAGGAGGCTATCTGATATCTGCCTTCCTTTTTGTCCTTTGCTTCACTAACGACAACAAAGAAAAATCGATTCTGTTTGGAATAAAAAAAAAGAGAGGAATATTCCATGTAATGATTTCCATACACCACATCTCGGACTCTTCCAGGACCGAGGGGACTGAAAATTTGTATCTTCAGCACCGTAAAGCTCCTATTAACAACCTAAGCTTTCTTCTTTTTTTTTTTTTGCTTTACATCATACACAATACAAAACTCTTAATTCAAAATTGCTTAATTCACAGTAGTCTGCTATGCAGAGCTGCTACAAAACATGTTAGTCTAACGCACCACACTCTTTGCCCTGCAGTTTCTGACATTAAGTCACATCTTCAGCCTTTTGCTTTCTCTTCCTGTCCTTTAGCCTCTCTGCCTTTACTCTGTCCACAGAGGACATACATCACCAGGGAGATTGTAGCAACAGACGGAGGAAACAAGAGCAGTTCGGTGGAACTGGCTGTCACCATCACCAATGTAAAGAACCAGCCTCCACAGTGGGAAAAAGACACTTACAGTGTGGTGATACCGGAGAACACAGTTCGGGACACGCCCGTCGTGGTACGTCAGCCTGCAGACATTGTAGCATGAAGTCGTTTGATAACGTCTATAAAGTTAAAGAAAAAGAAGCCAAATTATGGAGGCATCAAGGCACGGTGAAAATGACTTGCTGAAATGAACTTGAAAAGTTGAATTGATTGAAATTAGCACTGAACAGTAACATGTAACGAGGTGATCTTAAGTTTCACTGCTGCTTTGAAAACCGCGTACACTCAACATTCCACCGACATGTTGCCTCTGAAAAAAAGCAATGAATGTACAAAAAATGCAGTAAGATAGATGGGATAATCCACACTACCGAGATACTTTTTAATGAATTAACGTTTTTTGTCGTCTCTAAGACTCTCCTGAAAGTATCCGAGTCCATTAGAGTGGCTGATGAATGTATTAACTCCTAGGATGGAGACAAAGATGGAGAAAGGTTAGTTTAAATGGGAATTTGTGCCCTTTATTGTGTTTGTGAGCAACTCTAATAAAAAGAGGAAGATAGAGGAAGGTCCCAGCAGTGCCATGTATTAATCGAGATTGCAGCTCGGAGTTGATTCGGTGGTTATGGAGAGATGCAATGACTCTCTGTTGGCTCTGATTCCTCTGCTTTGGACAGTTGAAGTCTTTATGGCCTAAATAAGCACACTGTGTGCTCTGACACATTTTGCTTTGCAGGGTGTCTCATTATTGCTGCCACTTCTCTTTCCAGGTTGAAAGGATGCATGTGGGTCACCTATAAGCAAGCCTCATCAATCCCAAGATGGCTTTCTTAATTTTAATTGGCTTGTATGCAGCATCAGCTGTTGAATAGCCTCATCCTTAATTAGTGTAGGTGGTGAGCTGCATTTGGATGCGAGTGTGTCTCTGTTTGATCCCACACACAATATCAGTTGACTGCTGTTAGATTTAGACAGTTTGGAGCTTTTATATGTTCGCTTTAAAGGAGATGATCTGTTTATAATGCACAATTCAGTATTTAGCTTTGCTGTTTGCGTTTAGAAGGGGTTCATTTCAACCAATCAGCTGGACTTTCTAAGATAACTTTCAGCCAATTGGATTCTGATTGTGATTGCTTTGTATTGTATAAGTAGGACCAAATTGGAATTGAACCCTTTATATGCCACTGAACTGTTATAGATTTATTTATTTCTGAATATCAATCGACTGTTTGTCTTGTAAAAGTCCCTTGGATAACATTTGTCTTTAATTGGGGCTCAGATTGAATTTCATTGCTCCACCTTTGTCTCAAAATTGTTAAGTACAAGTGTGAAAAATATTCAAATGCAAATCAGTATAACCTTTTAAGCTTTGGTTTTGTTTGCTGGCTTACATCACACTGTGACTACATGCCTTCTATATTCAGAAAGTGATAACTATTATAATATGAGTATCATCATGCTGCATAAATATACAGTTGAAACTGCCACAGTCTGATAGCATATTGCTACTTGCTTACTAACACGGTATCAAGAAACAATTTACTTACACTTGACCTTTGGCTTCATTAGACCACTGGACATGTGTCTAAAAATGAATGTCTCTGCCCCTGAATGCGTTGGAAACTCAAATGCGGCTTTTTCTGTTGATTTGCGGATAATTACTTCTTCTTCACTGAGTGGCGTTTCAGCCCTGCCACGTTCAGGAATTGCTTCAGTGTGGAAAATGACACCACAACATGGTGATCTCAGGGACAGACTATAGAACCGTCTCCTTCCTGAACAACATGTTGCCTATAGACATTCTTGCAGTGTTTCCTATGCTTATTTATTTCAATAGATGATTGCAGGTATTTTAGGCATACATAAATTGGACCCAAAGACTCAAGAAAGATGTGTGTTTGTGAGGTATTACCTTAACACATCTTAACATCCAGAGATGTCTTTATTAAACCCAAATATTTTGAGGTAGAGGTCTATATTAGCTTGGACATTGTCATTTATCTTTTATGTAACTGACAGGCTAAAACCTATGTTAATATTCAGCTTATTCTAACTTTTAGCAATTTTTTCTGATTTCAAAACAGCAAATATTTAGTCTCCTGCAATGCCCAACAGTGAGGATAAAAAGGGCAAAATCTCCAGTTTCTACTGTAGTTTTTGTTTTTTCAGGCCTAATATGTTGAGTAAGATGTTTAGGGGGGGATAATTCTACCTAAGCCATGTTCTGATAATGCTGTCGTCTTCTTTTCTCATTTCTGGTCCATAAAGATCATCAAAGCCACATCCCCTCTTGGTGATCCAAGGGTAACGTACAACTTGGAGGATGGAATGGTCCCAGAGACCAACATGCCGGTTCGCTTCTACTTGACTCCCAATCGAGAAGATGGTTCAGCCTCCATTCTGGTGGCGGAGCCCCTGGACTATGAGACCACCAGGAACTTTATTCTGCGGGTTCGCGCTCAGAATGTGGCAGCTGTACCATTAGCTGCCTTCACCACAGTCTATGTTAATGTCACAGGTACATTCCTGTCTGCTTCTTCCCAAATGTAACGTATTATTTTAATAACCAGTAGCTGCAGGTCCATTGACTGTATCATTTTGAAAATAAATTTGTCTAATGTAAAAATTCCAACTACAGAAAAAACTCGTTTTTGCGATAAAAAGTTTTTCTGCTGAGGTGAAGTGTATTTAAATTGGTTTATTTTGTAAAATTTTGATGGAGACACTTTGTTTGCACACGATCAACCGGATGTTGCCACTGGTGCAAACTGCGAAGAAGACAACAGAATTTTGGAGGACGATGATGCCAGGGTGTGTTTTTTAATGGCATTGTTCATGTGAACAAATGTATTCATCTGCCATCTTTCTTCAGTTTTTCATTTAATGGAAACACCACAATTGTGACAATGTGTTTCTTTTCTGACATTAGCAAATATTGACAAAATTTGTAATGGAAACTCAGCTACTGTGATCTTGTTGGGGAAGTAGTGCTTTATCAGTATTGGAAAACACAGGCTCCATTATTGTTGGAACTCAAAATAACAGAAGGGTTGCAGCTCAAACAAAAGAGCTGCAACCCTATCAGAACTTCACCTCAGAACCCTTTCAGAACACATCTGATCTGTTGCCCATGTATACAGACACCCTGGTCACTGTTCCATTTATGTGTATTTTCATTGTTTTAAGTCATGAAAATCTGAATTAACTTTGTTGACGTGAAGTTTTGAAATCCTGACCTTTCAAAACTTCATCTAGGTGCCCCTGCATCCAGTTCCTATAAAGCTTGCACTCACACACAATCACACACACACGCTGTTCAGTCACATTTCTGTTTAATCCAGTGAGAAATAATTAATTCTCACAGACCCTCTCTTCCCCTACTGTCCCTCTTCTAACTTCCCATTTCTCTTTTAGCCCTCCCTGTCGTCCGTATCTGTCTTAATAAGAAAGCTCTTTGACTTCTCCAGAGGCAGTTATTCTGAGGAGGAGAGGGAGGTCTGTAATGGATTTAAGACCCAATTTTTTATTCATAGATTAAGACATTTGCTCAGAAGACATGGGAGGAAAAGAGACTCATGAGGCAGCAGCAGATTTAATGTGTGGCACTTTTTGAGTACAAGCTGTAATGCTTTTGGACATTAATCTGCTTTGTTAAAATGGGACTTTTATTTCTATGAAAACCTTTTTCTCTTGTTTTGCGTCTCTTATTGGTCTTCAGTAGAGAGGTTTAACTTGATGGTCTGACTTCTATCAGTTAAAAACTAAAGCTGCTAATAGGCACTTCAAATTCTGGAATTATGTAACTAGGAAACAAGGTTTTTTTCTGCATAAAGGTTTATTATAGACAAACAGTGAAACTTTAATTAATAGCATTTCTCTAGTTTCTGTGTACTGATTTAACAAAAAAAAACGTTTTAGTGTCAATCATTATAGGGAAGAATGCACTTCTAAGAGGTTTGATCTGGAAGCATTTTCTGACTTAAAGGGAAAATTGTCTTTTTTCATCTTCAGATGTTAATGACAACGTTCCATTTTTCACTTCCTCCATCTATGAGGCCTCGGTCACTGAAGGAGCAGAATCAGGAACTTTGATTTTCCAGGTATCAGCCAATGATCTTGACCTGGGCCTTAATGGGAAGGTAAAAAAAAAAAATCACACGTTAACTGCTCACTTTACTGTACAATCTTTCACAATAAATACATAGAAATGCATATTGTTTTTTCAGACCCAAAGTTTGTTTTCCCACCTTTCTTCTCAGATTTCCTACTCACTGCTGGAGGACCGCAGTGGGGACCACAAGTATTTCCGCATCGACTCGGAGCTGGGCTTCATCTACTCTCAGGCTGTGTTTGATAGAGAGACCAAAAGCTCGTACTTGTTGGAAGTTCAGTCTGTGGATGGCTGGGAGTCTTCACGACCAGGAAAGCATGGACAACCCAACTCTGGTAACTAAGAGCAACACTTTAGAGCTCATCTTTGTTGATTATGTATAAATTGACTCTTTAAAGTGTTGCATCATGTTATAATGTTATTCCCTCATCAAAAGCACACCTGGAGTGTTCCTTCCTCTCTGTAAGAAGTACAGGTTTAGTGTGATCTCAACCTTAGGTCATTACTATGTGTCTGGCAATGACACAGCAATGTTCAGGACAATGTCCTCTGCATTTCAGCATTTCAGCATTTTCAAGTTCAGTGTTGGTCGTATCTAGCAACCTCTTTTGTATGTTTGCTCTGTCCCCAACACGGCTTGTGGATTTCTTTCAGCAGTAGTAGCACAGAACCAGTCCTGTTCTGTGCTATCAGAACAGTCCATGTAGAACCACAGGACTGGTTCTACATGATCTTTTGTCTGCAGTTTGCACACAGACACGCTCATATTGATTGACAGTGGAGAATTACAGTCCACTGTCAATCAAAATGACACGGAGAGCAAAATTTGTTTGTTTTGAAACTGTTCTTACTGTTAAATAGTCATATTTCTTCTGGGTCCTCAATGTTTTTCACTGTAACAAGCGGATCTGTCAGGGAAGGGAGCCGCAGCCATGTAGGATGTTTCCTCCTCTTGCTGAATGCTATTACAGAAGAAAAGACGCTGGTTTCTCTGGGCTCACTTCAGCTTCACTTTCAGATGTTTAGTGAACAAGAAAATAGGAAAATAATAATCACTTAAATCCCACTGTGACAAAGCAGGATATTAGTATTCAATTAACAGTCCAATAAAGTTTTAAATCCTGAAACAAATAAAAAAGAAATAACAGATGGGTTAAAAACTGTAAAGCAGCAGTGTCCACAGTGTGGCCTGTGATCCGATGAAAGTGATGTTGTTCATGGTGCTGCCACTCCTCTAACTCACTTCACTGAGAGGACACAAACTTTCCTCTAAAAATGATCCCCTGCCTGAGATCGCATTCATGAAACGGCTGCTCTATAACTTTCGGTCCAAGTCATGACTTAGAGACATAGATGGAGTCCCAGGAACGTAGTTTGATCTTGTGCTACGTCAGTCGATTGATACCGTTAATACATTTTCTGTATTCCTACAATTGAAGACAGCCATAACTGAATGTTCACACTTATCTAAATTGGCACATGTTTTTTTTTTCATCAGTCATGTTTAGCAAGGACTGATTGCAGGAATGATAAAAATTTTACCACGTATTTCAGTTGAATTTTTATTTATTTGAGGCAATAATATCAAAATCTTAATACAAAAGAACACGTTATGTACAACACACAGTATTGATATTTTAAAAACGCCACCTTACTTTTATATTAAATAGCACCACATCCGTCTAGTGACTTTTACTCAAAAGCAGACTTTATTTGTAAAAGTCCAGGATGTATGGTTCCTAATAATTTTCAGATTACAGTTCCATATTTTTTGATACTCATTTTGCCACAGTTTCCTGTCTTTTTTGGCATATTTTTAAATTATGAACACTACTCCAAGGATACTCTTACAGCGGTTGAGCATAATTCAGTCATAAAATCACAGACAAAATGAATCCTAGGAAGGTAAAATGAATGGCCAAACATGGAGGTCTCTCTGTGTAAAGCTGCATGTTAAGTTGACATACACATGCATAAACAGAAACGCTTCTTGCTGTTTATGAGTATGCTGTGGAAGTTATGGCATTTAAAATGTTATTACATCAAATTCAAAATCCTTTCATAACAGGAAACAAGATCTTGGAAATTGCTTTTTTCTTTTGAAAAACAGAGCAACACGAAGAACTCGATGCAGCAGACAGCTGCTCTACAGACTTCATCTAAGCCTCCAAATCACGATCGAAGGCAGTGTTAATGTTTATTTTTCCCACATCTGCTCCGTCTCGATCTCTTTACTCAAAAACCAAAGGGCATCGCCCTCTTTCAGCATGTCAGCCCGAACCCCCTCTTCTGTATCGCTCTCTCTCTCATTTGCTGCCAGATGAAATGCATACGTAGACAAGAAGCATGGCGAGATGATGAAGAAACAGAACAGCTGCTGAGGCAGATGGATGGATAAGAAAAGGTGATGGTAGAAAAAAAATCTCTTCTCAAGACAGACCAAAGACTTTGTTGGGCGTTAATCAAAGCAGAATGTGGACAACTTTACTTAAGGACTGCATTTCACTACCAATTTTCAGCACGAATCCATCAAATGTTAAAATCAGTTGTGTGTTTTCTTTTTTATTTGAAAATCATCATTTCTTACTGGTGGCAGCAGAACTCTTAAAGATATCAAGTACGGGAGGATCAAAGGTCCAGTGAATATCGATAGGTTAAAAAAATCCTGTAATATCTCACCAAAAATAGATAAGTGGGTAATGAATTGTGTAAATTGTTACAAAAGAATGTTGGAAAACCAAAAGCCAAAACCTTCCTTGATTGTGATCTCCAAAGCGGTCAGGCATCGCTGCATTCGAAACTGTGAAAAACCTACCAAGACACGGCTGTTCAGGATTACAACTTGTGTGGTTCCTACTGATAGTGAGGCCACTCAACACATTTCCAGTAGGAAGACTGGAAAGAAGAAAGCCTTCTTGCAGTTTTCCACAAGTCTTTCAGGTGATTTAGGACACAAAGAGCGCATGCCGTGTTGGAGGAAAAAATGTTAGAAGCCGAATAGATCTGAGCAGAACAGAGATTAATTTCTTAGTTGCACCTTAATTACTTGTCATTGCCATTATGGCAATGAAATGCTTTAGATCAAAGCATATTTATGTGTTCCATTGAGCCAGTCAAAGTCTGGATCAAAATCCGTCTGAAAATCCATGGCAAGGCAAGAAATGTATGTTTGAGGTTTTCTTCCTTTCTACCAGAACTTATGCTATTTTTGCAAACACGTGTAGGTGAAAATTTCAGTTTGGCTCAGGATGTGAGCCTATCAATGTATGTCACACTTGCAGATTATTACTAGTATGGGAAGAAATGACAGTGACATCACATACCATTTTCTTTCCATTATAAAACATATGCACTGTTTTGTGTTTTGCATTAATAAATGTGACACAATAGAAAAAAATATTTTAAAAATGTTATTTTTGCCAGAAAACATATATGAAAAGAAGAGTTTCTACTAAATTGAAGTACAAAACAGTTTGGTGGAGAAAAAGTAAAAGTTAACTTGCGCAGCTTTAGAAGCTGTTTGTAGATTTGTTATCCAGTAAAGGTTTTTGTACAAGTGGTGGCAGAGAAGGGAAATGACTGAAATAAATTGTGGTTTCCATTTTCAGGTTGGAATCATGGTTTAAATATTGTATTGAAGACATTTCAAAGTAGATATTTAACCCCATAGAGTTGTTTCTGAATCAGTTTCTCAATAAATTTGTTTACAAGTGTAACGAATTGTAACTTTGTTTGTAACAAAGTTACTATTTTTTTAGAAACAAAATTGTATCTTTAGGATTTAACATGAAGAAGTTGATGGGGAGAGACTTAAGAGAGAACAACACAATTACTGATGTGTGGGGGAAAAAAAGGCTTTCCAAGAGGAGAAACATGCCACATAGCAAACTAGCATTGTAGCGCAGCTACCTGAACTGAACTCACTCAAGACCTCTATTAGCTGGATTATCCTTCATTTAACATTCCTTGGAAAAAGAATCTACAAAGGAAGTACTAACCACACTTACACACATGTTGTGTAAGCTAGCTAGCTATCTTCAATAAGAAGTTTGTCAGCTAACTTCTTAGCTGGCAAACTGAAGTTCTGGCTAACTTCAGTTAGCTGCCAGAGGCAAAGAAAACACTCCAGGTCCATTACATCTGTTATTAAGGGTGTACTGCCGGCCTTCTGCAAAGAACTGTAACAATTTAGAGAACAGGGGACTGACCTGGAAAATAGCTCCTGACAACAAATGCACTTTTATGAAAATAGTTCATTTGGAAGAATAATAATCATTATATTTATCCTCTGACCTGAAGCAAAGATGAAATACTTCAAAATTTACAGAATCTTGAAAATGAAAAATAAAATCCCTTAGAGTTTACAGCTCCAGTTGATGCATTTAAGTATTATTGATTAAAATAGTTTATCTTTGTACCCAGTAAAGGATTCCAATCTAGTAAGATGAAATATGACTCATAAATATGATTGATGCAAACATTTGTCATCTGACTATCATCTTTGTAAACAATGTGTATTTTGCCATGTGTGTGACTGAAAGCGTAACAAGAATGAATATTTTCAAAAAGTATTTTAAAGAACACACAAAAGTAAATTGAAAGAACAGACATGCTGTTAACGTGTCAGGCTTCGGGCACATAAAAAGTTAGCTCCTTATTTAATCTGTTTTTACAGCATAATGTTCCTATTTCTCTCTGTGGAGCAGTCAGCTGCCAAAGTCAAAATCACTCCACGACCTTAATTATCCTGTTGTTAGCCAGTTCATAAAGTCTGCCATTATTGCACTTTTATGCTCCGACATGCAAATGTTTAAGATTCTGTATGTTTGTCTGATACTAATCAGATTGCTGGGACTGGTTGGCAGAATCATGTGTGTTGCTGCAGTTAAAAATGTTTTATGGCATTTTTAAAATGCTTCTTTATTTCTGAAGAACAGAGTTATTTTCAGCTGTAATATTACAAGCACTGTCAGAATGAATATTACTTCATATTTTTGTTGTCTCTTGATCATTCTCGGTTAAATACAAGGTTGAAATGATTGAGAAAATTATTCTTGCATCACATTCTTGTAGTAGCAGTGCATCAGTTCCTTTTCAAAAAGAGGTTTGTATTTTTTATGAATCACCATGGATTATTAATATCACTTCAGGTTTGGCTCATTGTGGCATCTGTAACAGTGTAAACAGATGTTAAATATTAAGAAGTGCAGGAACTACAGAGACACTGGCAGTAATTTGATGTTGTTCTTGGTTTGTTTTGAATGTAGAATGAACCAGAAAAGGAATCAATGACAGCGGAAAATAAAAAGGTTGCACGTTTGAATTTCTATCCATATTAACAAATTGTTTTGACTTCTGCTCATTTTAGGAAGAATAATTATGCCTGACTCTGAGCCACGTCCCCACATGCCCATGGTTCATGACAGAGCTTGAATGGTTTTGCATGAAAGAATGGAGGAAAATAGAGTCCATATGTACAAGCCTGATAGACCAATCCACACTGATTTACCCAGATTGCAGCCAACAATGCTTCACCTACATGCTGTTTTGAAGGTGGTAAAGATTTCTGTAATCTCTTGTTTTATGTTAAATATGTTCAGTTAATTACTTCTTTGTAGAAATCAGTTCTCACTTTGACTGAAGGTGGTTTTTTTTGTAATATTTTTTGCCCAAAAAAAGCCATGATTGATTTGTAAAAGCAACAAAAGCGGTGGAACAAAAAATCTAGATATAGAAAAAAGACTGAATACTTTTTTTTATCAGTGCTGTACCTGCAGACTATTGGTGTTAATGATTCAGTTGCTGGTTAGAACAGACACCACAGAGAAAAACTGGTGTCATTCTGACCAGTACTTCCACAGACAGCATTGGATAATTTACAGGGCTTTACCATAGCTTTGTGGGTTTATTACATGTTTCCCTCTGAGCATTTGTAAGACGCAGAGTGTTTATATCCTGCAGAAGTCCATCATGTGCAATACTGAGTTGTCACTACTGAGTTTCAACATCAAAGAATCTTCATATGTCATGACCTGCTGATGCTACAGAGATGCAACATCATGGTGTGTTGAAGACAGTGATGGGACAAGGATACCGTGCAGCTGTGTTACAAATGTGTGCCAGTCTATGTCTGTTTTCTGCTAATGTCAATAAAAGTCAATTTTGCAATTGTGCCGCTTCCATTAAACAGGATTTAAAATTAAAATCACATGTGAAAAAGCTTATTTATGTGGTAATTTGAGAAGACATGGGGGTCTTATTGGAGCAACTAGCCCTGCCCACTTGGGACAGGTTATGTATGCTGCACTTGGGGAAATCGCAGTCAATAATTTTACAGAATAGTGATGGATTTAACATGTTGGGATGACACACAACTTTATGAACTGTGATACTGTAAGAGGCTGGTGGAGTCAGCTGCATATTGTCTGGAAAAAAACCAAAACAAACCATCATCCTCCTGCTACTTCTTCCCTTTCTCATCAGTAGCAGCTAATTATGTTCTACATTTGCATGCCTTGCTCCTCCAGCATCCTGGTACAGATGTATGGGGACCATGCGTGAGGTCCTTCAGTAGTTCGCTGGGTCTTTCTTCTCTCGACAGTCAGACTTGTGTTAAATTAACTCAAATGTCACTCCGACTCTGTCCCAGTCTGCCAGATCTCAACTGCCAGTGGCAACAGCTGTTGATGAGCTTTCTGGATGAGGGAATGCAACATCCACAGCTGTGAGAGGCTAAGACCATGATTGACACAATAGTTTTGACCAAAGGATTCCTAATTTTCACAAACATTGCTGCTTTGTTTCTTTTTATTTTGGTAGCTTGGATTGATTTGAGGTTGATACAGAGAGCGATCAGATGAAATTCAATTTGAAGATGCTGTGTTAATTTGTCTCGGCATGCAAGATGTTTGAACTGTAATTGAAACTGATGGTTTAACCTACTTTCTGATTTATTGGGCTCATGATTATCTGATCACTTGGAGTATTGAAAGGACATTCCCAGACGTCCTGTCAGAAGTAATGCCCCTGGTCCTGAAGCAGCAGAAAACTATGTCCACACTTTTTATTCTAATGCGCTCACTATTCAGAGGTAAATACACTGAAATGAAACGGTAACCTAATGATATGACAGAACTCAGTAACTTTGTTTCCATCAACCATAAAATTGACCAAAAGTGGAATTATGAAAATAAATGTCCTTAATGGAAAGACAGCAATTTAAAAATATATCTTTTTTTTTTCTGATGAAAGTTTCTTGCATGGTTTTTCAATCATTTGTGTATTTTACAAAACTGCAATAGAAAAACTTTTCACATCGCTCCAGTTTGTACAGAGCAGCAGCTTAATTGTAGGAACTGACGGCTGACTCCACTAGAGCTCTCACAGCATCGCACAGTTCATCAAAAGTTGAGTTTGTTGTTCAAATGTGTTGAATCTAAAGTTCTTCAAATCAAAGACTACAGTTTTCCCTAAATGCCACTAATATACATAGCCACTCCCAAGTATAAAAGCCTTTCTGCTTCAACGCCTCAGTGAGACCCTGACGTTTCCTCCGATGGCTGATTATGACATGACTAAATTTTGAATATTGCTGAAGTGCTTACATCTGTCGTCCATGATTTTAAATGTCTCATTGCATGAAAATACATATTCAGGGGTGATTTTAATTCCATTTCTTATTTCATGGAAACACCACAGATAGAAAAGTGAGTCTTTTTTTAAAGATAAACAGAATATCAATTGCTTTGTGAATATTCAAAAGAGAAATGCAGCTATGGTTTCACAGAAATCCCATCATTTCCCCCCATTTAGTCCTGCATACCATTGGGTTTTCTTTATTTCAGCATGCATATATAATATAATATAGGAAACAAAATGACAGTTTATTTAATGAAATTAATCTTTTTGACTTACGACCTGTAATTGTTCAAACATGCAGCTTAATTAAACTGTAGTCCCAGAATGCTGGTGAAAAATCTTGACATTTCCTTTCTAAATCTATGAACTGATCTTGGCCTGTCTCTCGCTTTGGGTTTCGCATTCAAACCTTATTTGTGTGAAATTTTTGTGTGTGTAGGTGTGTGTGCGTGCGTGTGTGTGTGTGGGGGGAAAAAAAGAACAAATGCAGGAAAGGAAGGCACTTGAATACTTTGTGTTTGCTTTGCAGATCTAAGTGCACAGACATAGACAAGAGACAACAGTGAGTTGTCATGTTTTCACAGAAACAACCCTGATGAGACGTTTTTTGCTGGCAGGAAGTTCTGCCGAAGACCGAGACTGTAGGATGGAGTTGGGTGCTTTGTCTGAAAACACAGAGAAACTATAGCTTTGAAATCCACTCGGTCACTTCCTGCATTCATCTCCCTTTGCTGCCCACCTCTCTAAACATGTGCAGAGCTCTGGTGGTGTGTGCAGCTCTAAGACTACATGCCTCTACTATTTTTTTTTTTCCATGAACTGTGTACCGACTCCACCCTGGGGTAAATAATTAATCTAAGTCTCAAAACTGCCTTGCAAGTTTTGCACTTTTTGATACAGATATCAAAGGAAGCACACGTAGTGTCTTGAATTGCGCCGAGCGTCGCCCTGATCCCTGACTGATCGGGTTCCCTGTGAAGCTCACTTCCCTTAGGTTGGATGTTGATGTAAAAGAAAAAGAATTCTGCAGCACAACTGTCAAAATCAACTGAGACATTTTGTAAAAAATATTTAAAAGTGGTATAAAATGATAGCTGAGAAGATTTATGTGTTTGCAGAAGTATCACCAGTTTTCTGTATGCGTTCCGGTTTGTTGATTCTCTCCATCGAAGCGACTAAAATGCTGCTCCAAGAGGGAAAAAAACAAAAAAAAAAACAGATGTTCATGTTAACGTTGACAGAATAGGAGCAACCTCTGGTTTTAATTGCCTTTCTCTTCCTTCTCTCTCTCTCTGTACGTTTTTAAATTTTCAGACACAGCATATGTTCGCGTTTTCATCAGCGACGTGAACGATAACAAGCCCGTGTTTGCACAGGCGTCTTATGAAGTTGATGTGGATGAGGACGCTGACGTGGGCTTTGCCATTCTCACAGTTAGTGCCAATGATGGGGACGAAGGTAGGTGGAATGAAGAAAGAAAAAAAAGGACTCTACATGTGAATGTGTGTGTGTGTGTGTGCTTTGACATCCGGTGATATCGAGGCAGAATAGAATATGTAGGCGTGAATGTGGGGCCAGTGCTAGAAATGCATAATCAAACACATTCACAGAAGCCACACTGCCAGACTGCTTCGCTTTTCCCTCACTTTAGGAAGAGAAAAATCCTCTTTTAACTCTGCTGCCTTTGTCTGACGCCCGCTTACTTGGAAGGGAGCACTATAAAACATGCTATAGAGCTAAGAAAATCACAATAATACGTGAGGTTGAATCAGCCACCGTGAAAAAAGCAATTTAATATAACATTTGAATGTAAGCTGCATGAAGAAACTCTGAAGGATTGGAAATGTGTTCTCTAATGATTTTTTTTAGGGCTTGAAAATATCCTCCATCACTAAAGTCAATTATATCTTACAGCCAAGGTTGCTTCAAAAGCCGCGTGTAGCTGATGGACGTCCCTGGAGTCTTATATCAGCTTTTTTCTCTCTCATATCTTCAACTTGTCACTTCTGGATCTCAGTATGGTAACGGCCTACGAGGCGGTTTTCTTCCTGAGCGCTTTTGGTTCTTTCAACTATTTAGCACACCAAATGACAAGTAAAGTAACCTGTAATTGTGACGAAAACCTTTCACTGGCACTACATCCAATGACTTCAAACATAGCAGCTAGAACTGCTCTCACAGTGCCCAACAAGAGCATGGAGAATACATGAAGGAAAGAATAGCTGCACTCATACAGAAGGTTTTGATGCTAAATTCCAATATATTTATTTATTTATTTAGCATGGTCATTCTTCAGAACAATGCAGTATCATGCAGACTTCTGAGTGAGTTGAATACGACTGCAAAGTGCGCAGAAGGACAACGTTGATGTCGGTGTGTTGCATACAGAAGTAATAATCTCATAAACACATTACAATCGAATAAAAAAAAGTACAACTGACAACAACAATTGTTTGTGGAGAACGTACGACAGTTTATGTTGGGAAGTCTGTCGGACCAAGAGTGTCGGGACTTGGATGAGACGAGCTCTACTGACAACCTTCTTTCAGCCATTGTTTATTTGTGGCTTATTCTGGTGGAGATTTATTCTTTTTTTTTTTTTTTTTTTTATAAATACAGTACAATGAAGGTTTCCTAAATACCAAACCGTGTGCTAAGCATCCCAATGTACAATTAGCTAGTCTAAGTTTAATCAATTTAAATATGTTAGATATTTTACTCGAAATGATCAAATGCAGTCCAGACTTTTTGGAAAGAAACACAAAGTCCTTTATCTTAGCATCAATAGAAAGCTATGACACATCTTCTATCTGTCGTTATATTCTGCTGGATGCTTAAACAAAACGGTGTCATTTTTAGGAATTGCCCATTTTAAGTAAAAAAAAGAGACAATTTAAGGACTGCTTCGTTTGCTACTTCAAAATAAGAGTCTCAAACATACAGGGTGTTGATTCAACACTCCACTTGTAACAACTTAGACTCAAATCTCTGGACTAAGCCACAGCTGACAGCAGCTCGATAGCGCAGACTGCACCTTCCTCAGAGAGACTGCAGCTTTTTAACACGGCGCCCTCGGCTCAGCGTGGGGTCATGTGCTGCGCCTGTTTCTTCTCGCTCTGATAACCCTCAGCAGCTGCGTCTGGGGAACTTCAAGAACAATGTAACTTAGCAGTCATGAACTTTAAGGCAACCGAGCGCTGACAAGGATGAGCTGAAGCATCTTTTGGATGGAAAACAGGAAAACTTCTGGGAAAGTGACAGGGCTTTTTCTCTATATCAGCAGCACTGCAGTGACGACTTTGATCACTTAAAATCTATCCATAAACTCTCTACCTTGTGTGAATGAAGGCCTGCCAGTATTCGGTTGCAACTTTTCTCTTTATAGACGTAGTCAGCTTTCATCCAATATATTTGTTTCTTTTACAACAGTCAATAAACAATGCTGCAATTCTGGGTCAGAATTTAGATTTTTTTGTTAGTTTTAAGTCTCTGAATTGTCAGTTTTTAGTCACCAACCCAATAAATAATATTGGAGGAGAATTTCTACAGGGAAAAATACATTGAATTCATTTCTTATGTAATATGGAGTTGAAAGAGCTGAAGGAGATCCATGCCTTTCTAATATTTCTGTTTCTGACCTTTTCTGTTTGATTGCATAAATTTAGATCGAAAATTTAGAAAAATAAGTATCTCTTCTCCAGAGTAAAAACACCCAAAAGCTTTCCCTCTAACTTTAAATTTAACGTCTGTATCACAGTGTGCCAGATGTGATTTCTAATAGTCCTTCTACTTCTGGAGACTTTGTAGGACGACTTTAGTGTACAGGTGCATCTTGATAAATAAGAATGCAATCTTATGCTGTATGCAATCAACGACATATGATATTATACGATTGCATAAATTACTGCATCAACTGAACGCTGCATGGAGTCGATGTTGTAGCAATAAATAAAGTCAACATGAAATAAATAAATAAACATTTCAGTCCGTCTTCACCTTTGTCCAGTACAACCTCTGATGTGTAAAACAAGGAATGCGGCGGCTGTAACCCAAAAACTCTGATATGGGCCTAGACTCGCAGTTCTTGGCTTCATAATATGCTAGATGTGAGCGATACTGCATATTTTATGATCAGTTTGACACCAAATAAATATAAAACAATATATTTTTTTATTTAAGTTTGCTATATCACATATCTGACCGTTGGGAGTTTCTGTGGTTTTTCTATTGAATTATGCTGTTAAAACCTGGCATAGTATTTAGACACATTAGAGATGTCTCTAAAAAAGTTTAAAAACATATGACAATAAACAGAAAAGATAGAAAAAAATGTGTGTACCAATACATTTTTTTTTACCTAAATATAGTGCATATGAAAACATTATCTGTTTGAGATATAGTTGAGAAACTACAACACAAATACAAAATACATTTCAAAAAGAAATCAGAAACTAAACTAAATTACTTTGCTGTCTTAAAACATTTTTTTTCTCATGTAATATTAATTTTCCTTAAGTAACTAAATTTGAGGTTTTCATTAGCTGTGAACCATATTAATCCAAATTAGTATAAATACATGCTGACAAAATATATTATCGTTCTAAGTGTATCAATATCTACACAATCTATATAAAGGGAATTTTGGGATTGAACAAGTAAAATAAATCTACATTGCTATAATTTTTAACACAATTTTTTTTAATCTAATAATTTGAATGTAAATCAATTAATTTGTTGATAATTTTCTAATTGATTAATAACAATAGTAATTGATATCTTCCAATAGATTTTATTAAACGTGCCACTAAGAGCAGAAGAAATCCGATGCTATGTTGTGAAATCCGTGTATAATATATATCTTTCAGCGCTCGCTAAAAATACCCAGAGCCTGTAGGTAGTGTGACAGAGGTGATGTGTTGGTGCACCAACAGTCGGGCTGGATGACTGCATCGCCAGAGAAATCTTTCTTTTAATTTTATATCAGGATTACAGCAACACATTTAATTAGAATATTACATGATGTGTGCTCCGAGCTGTTAGACAAGTTTGCAATATTTTCATCTGCCAGAGGCAGCACAGTCTGCCTGACTCTGACCTGATAGAAGGGAGTCAAAATACCTTGAGAGAACATAAAGTCGCTCTTGTCCACAGAGACACTGAAATATATATTACATCCATATTAAGTGTTGTACTGCAATAACATGATGCTGTTGGTCTGTGCCAAACTTGGAATGTGTTGCTGGATGATAATCCCCATCCTATGTGAATCCTATAGATAAGATTATTACAGTGTCGTTTTCTATCTTTAAAGGTAATTTGGTTACTTCCAAATATAGCAGCTTTATGTCGCAGAATTTTCTCTTTTTCACGCTGATAGAAACTGAACACCTTTACATCCTGAGTGACAGAAACAGGCTGATATAGAAGTAACTCTGTGTACATTTTATTATCTAGCTTTTAGCTGATAGTACTGCTGGCTGACGGAGTATTAGGACCATACTAAAAAAAACAATTAATTAATTAAAATTATGAGAATAGTTGTATGAGAGTGAAGTCGAAAAAATCACAATAATAAAATAATAAAGACATAATAATCTGACCTTATTCTCATAATACTATGGCTTTATTATCATATTATTTTGACTTTATTCCCATTTGACTTTATTCTCTGAATATTATAACTTGTATCTTGCAGTTTTATAACATTATTTTTTCTTTTTTTATTATTAATTTCTTAATTAATAATAAAAAGCCCTAATCCGTCATAGTATTTAAATGTTTCGCATAAGAAAGATCCCATGTGACATCTCAAATGGATATGTTTTATTTCACTTATCTAGAAATACTAAGTTAGTGTTTTTTTTGGCAGTGACTCTGTGACAGCCATTTATGCGTGCACTATAAACTCATATTAAGGGAAAACATTCACTTTGTAAAAAAGTCTAAGCACTTAAATTTTAACCTGAGTAAATTCAAAAAGGACTCTTTAAACAATGATTTCGCTTCTAAAGAGAAAAAAACTCCCAAAATCAACAACTTTTTGTTGTGCTTTGACCTTTTCCAGTCAGGAAAGGTCAATTCCTCTTAAACTTAACCACCGCTGGTGAAAGCAGCCAGTCTTTTACGTCACAAGGAGGAAGTTACGACCTCTCCTCTTGGTCAAATTATTTTAATTCATCCACATCGAAGGGCTTTATAACACAGATAACCTAATTAAGATCAGACCACATCATTTCAGTTCTGTTCATTTGTCATTTTGTTTTCTCCGCAGCTGCAGACTTGCTGGTTTGCTTCATATGATCCTTCAGATCATATTCCTGCTATAAAAACAAAGTCTGCTTGAGACTAAGGTCAGCAAATGACAGCCGAACATTCTCCCTCTAGATTTTTTGGTAGAAAGCAGAATTCATGTTTCCATAAACAGCAAAGAAGTCCGAGTCCAGTGTACTCAGTACTTTGGTTGTTAGGACAAATGAGACAATGTTGTAGGCAGACTGGTGAAGAGGAGGACTTAGTTATTTTGCAGCCCGAGGCAAAGGACCTTGAAGGGGCATGCCACTGCTATCCTTTGTCTTTATTTTTTCAACTTTTATTTATTCAGGATTTGCTTGCAGCAGGTTTCTTGTGCTGTATGTGCATCTTATCCACAAATTGATCTTAGTCCCAGTCATTTCTAAATAATGTATTCAGAGGTGAACCAATCAGACCTTCTCAATTGTCTTTGAGTTCTGACCTGGCTAACACATTCTTTTTAAGTAATAGAACACATAAAAATGTAGTTCTGATTATAGAAATATTATTTTTATTCCAAGACAAAATTCAAACTTTATAATTGCCTTGACATTTGCTCTCAACCTTTATCCAATTCAGTTTGGTTTTACGTCAGTTTCTTTACATAGCACTGATTTAATGTCTTCTCATGGCACTTTACAAGATAAACATCCAGTTTATATACAGAAACATCTAGTCACTTCAATCTAGTCATTTAAAATCCTTCAAAGTCAGTTACAAACATTCATCCTGATCTATCAGATTACACCCAGTCACTGACCTTGCAGAAATCCTTCCATCCTCCTGAGAAAACATGTGCAAACATTTCATGATCACATGAAATCCTCACTTTTGTATCAGTTCCTCACACTGGGCATGCAGGTGATGACAGTAGACAGACTGTTAACAAGAAGAAACCTCCAGCAGAACCTGATTCAGCGTGAACAGCCATGTGCCATGACCGACTAGGGTTTGAAAGGACAGAGCAGAAACACTGGTGTAGGAGTTATTGATTAATAACAGATTGATCTGAGTTATCTCAAAGTAAAAAAAAAAAAAAAGAAAGAAAAAAGTCAAAGTACACGCTCTTGATTGAATTGTGTTGTGATTTATTCAATATAATTGGCATTAGGAGGGTGAGGAACATACTGGGTTGGACGTAACACGTTTCCAGAAACACAGCACTATGACTTAGAGTAAAATTCATATTGCATAAGTGCAAGACGATCTGCAGAATGTAACCAAAAAGGGCTGAATACAGCACCAGACTTCATCTTTATTGGCACTCTGGTGTCAGTGAAGCCAGAGAGGATAGAACTTCAAAAGTGCCACATTTGGGGGAAATAAAACATTAATTTTCTCTTGAGTTGTTTGTTTATTTTAACTCATGTATTATTCCCTGTACAGTTCTGCTTTTTTTCCCTCCTCTTTTCAGATTTCAGCATTTTCTAAGTGCTTAAGGGATTTATACAAGTGCAAAAAAAGACAATGAGGATGAATCAACGGAATGCAATCCGATGTATTCCCTAATGTCTCATTTAGAATGAAAACAGACAGACAGTACAAAACGATCTGGATTAGAGCATTATGCTCCCTCCTTCCTTGACTTTCATCTCCTTAATAAGAGCTGAATCTCATCTAGCCTTTAGAGGCCTCATCTTTCCCTTTCACATTACATCCAGGGTGGGGGATTGAGATGCAGACCATGGCTTTACCAGGAGTTTCATTTAGGAGAGCATTCCATTGATCAGCCGCTAATAAATGACCAAATATTCTTATTTCAGGTATAAACAGATTGTATAGTAAATTCTAGGGATTTGAGAAAATATTGTTTTTTTTTCTTTCTCTTTTTTAATTTAATGCAGAAAGCAGTTATTTTTTATGTTTTTTTTATTATGATTTATTACAGGTACAGAGGGTCCGCATCTTTTAAAAGGCTGATTTTCATGTGTTTCAAATTCAAATTAAGCTTTGTTTTCTGCGACTCTAGGTGGTTGAGGCTACTGCAAACACACCAATGCTAGCCTGCTAGCTAGCTAGCTTTATCCTGTCTTATCATGGGGAAGTCCAAATTTATCTCCAGTTGGCTGGACAAAGTTTATGTATTTGTGTGAATGTATAGGTCTTAAAATTCATTCATAATAACATGAAAAAGTTAACTTTGAGTTGGTGAAACTTGCAGAAATCCTTTCAGTGTTATATAGTATTATAGTATGGATTGGTTCTTTTTTTTGGCACAGGTGGGAATGCGAAGCTGCGTTACCAGATTACATCAGGAAACACAGGAGGCGTGTTTGACGTGGAGCCAGAGGTGGGAACCATCTTCATCGCTCAGCCTCTGGACTATGAACAGAACAAAAGGTGAGCATTCTGTCACAACACTTCATTTTCCTCTTCTTCTACTCATTAGGCCTGAGCTGTAAAAGTGACAATTTTCAGGGGTCTCCAAAGTGGGTCCTGGAGGGCCGGCATCCTGCATGTGTTAGTTCTCTCCTTGGTGGTAGTGACAACCTTTTCAGAATGTCAAGGTTCTTCTGAGGCCTCTAGCGAGCGTCATTTGATCCAGGTGCATTAAATCAGGGAGAGAACTAAAACATGCAGGATGCCGGCCCTCAAGGAACCACTTTGGGGACCCCTGTTGGAGATGATTCAGTTAGTTTAAAAAATTTAGTTGAACTTTTCTTTTGTTTTTATAGATGTTCCTGGGATGTTTTAGATGTGTTTAAACAAACATCTTTTTTGTTGACAGATTATTTTTCTTTGTGTGTGTGTGTGTGTGTCTGTGCATGTGTGTGGGTGTGTGTGTGTGTGTGTGTGTGTGTGTGTGTGTGTGTGTGTGTGTGTGTGTGTGTGTGTGTGTGTGTGTGTCTGTGTGTGTGTGTCTGTGCATGCAGATATTCCAGGACCAGCAGGGTATTTCTTTCTTAGTCATTAAAAATCCAAAATAAACCCTAGGTAACTGAAAAGTACAGAGTCCCCTGTGGGGCGCATGTAAAAACAAGAAAAAAAGTTGTTTCTTGTGCATGCACCTGATATTTTCTCATGCGCACGAGAAAATATTGTGAAATTTGAAGAGAGATATAATTCTTCGTATAGTTTTTGGACTCTTAGCATTTATATTTTGTGTTTTTAGGAAGTTAGATATTTATTCTACTGCTTCCAGTCTTCTTAGTACCAAGACTATTCAGTGTGCATGAGAAGCCATCGTTTTTGTTTATTTATTTATTTATTTTTACCCATGTACCTTTAGTGTGGCATAGAACATTGTTTATTTTTTTTCACATATATAAAGAGGACCCCCAGTGTTCAGAGCCACACATGAAGAGCCAAAGTGTATGAATACTTGAAATTTTCTCTAAAAATGCTTATAACTGCCTATTTTAATGGTTCAAACAACCATTATGTTCATTAATACACAAAGTATTAGTTACACAGTTAGTTTGGATGTTAGCTACTGATAACATCCAAAGTCTTTCTTATATCTGCCTGCAAATATATATGAAATATATGATATCCAATGTGTTAAATTCTGAAATGAAGCAGCAGTCAGGAGAGAGATTATTTCATTGCAGCCACATAAACGTATTCTGATGTCACCATTTCTTCATTTCAACTTTTTCCATACTTTTCTGATTATTGAACCCATTCAGTCACAGCAAGCGTTCCTGTAGGGATTAAAATGAAGTCTCATTCCTTATAGGTGTATTCACAGAGCTCCCACTGATGTTTTCTGACACACTCCTTTCACCGAACTGTGCCATTCTTTGTGTTCTTTGTAATTATTTTGCTGGGAGTTTCTGCACTAAGGGTGACTCCACAGTCACTGACTATAGTGCAGCAACAGCTACCACCTTAAGTCAAGCAATGGTAGATAAATGTTTGAAGCAATTTGTCATTATTGTACACATGGTGTATAACAGCTTCATTATCATAGCTGCTTAACAGTCAATCAATACAGAAAGTGAACAGCTTGACTTAAACGAGCTGCCTGTTGAAAATGCAGCTGGTTCTCATGGAAATCTGTAATCTGTGCAATACTGGCGAGCAAACTGAGCCTTTTTTCTTCTTCCTCTGATTTTACTTCAAGGTGCACATCTCAGACAGTTTTGTTTCGTGTTGACTGAGCAAGCATGTGTGATCTGATTCTCCAAACAAGTCATTTGGAGAATCGCAATCACTGCAATAGAGCTGAAACGATTGGTTGAATTAATCAATAATTGTCACTACTAGTTGACAATTATGTCAACTATCAAAAAGTAGTTTACATAATTGTCAACTGCTTTTGTAGTAGTTACTATTTGTTTATTTTCTTATTTAAACATGAATATATTTTTTTATTTGCATTGTTTATGTATTTCTAATATTATTTGAAAAAGTATTTAATATATTTTTTTAATCAAATTAAAATATTTGTGAATTTTGTCAGTAATAGATGAAATTTAACTGGAGTATAATGTCTCTAATGTCCAAAGAAGACTCCTGAAAAGTTGTGACTCTCAAGGCTTCAGAATGAGGAGGATTTGTTTCTGAAATTTGAAACTTTTCTTCAGATACAAGCTGCATGTCCTGGCTTCGGATGGGAAGTGGGAAGATTACACGACGGTGACTGTGAACGTGGTGAACAAGAACGACGAGTCGCCCGTGTTCACAGTGAATGAGTACTACGGCAGCGTGACCGAGGAGCTGGACGGTTCGCCTGTCTTTGTCCTGCAGGTACTGGGGATATGTATATAATGTATACAATATGAATATGATGTTCGTATTGTAATGTCAATAGTGATGGGTATTATGGGAGCATTATTCTTTCTCCATTTAGGTTCTTGATGTATGAGGTTGAAGAGTCAGTGAGTCGAATTCATGAATTCCATTTATTGAACCTAATACGCAGCGCTGGTTCATGGTTCATGCTATCCTTACGGGCTAACAGAGCAAATTGGCATCTATCAACAGTTTATAGTTCTTTATTAGCCTCTACCTAAGATCCACTCTAAAGAGGGCTCTCCCGAGGGTATCATTTCCTTTAGCCTTCGCTTTATGCTCTGTGTGTGCGTGCGTGCGTGTGTGTGTGTATGTGGAGGAGGGTGTGGGGGGGGGGTGCGCGTGTGTATGCGTGTACAGACATGCAAATAGCTAAAAAAGATAGTTACTGTTTAGAATTACGGTATTTACTCTCGACTGTGGCGTTAACAATGCAGGATGTTTTTGGTATGAAGTGTATAGTAGAAATTTAAAAAGATCACATTAATTATAAAAGTTTCCCAGGTGCTATTTTTTTCAATTAATTAATTAATTTATTTATTTTAATTTTTTAGCAATTGACTCAAAATTTTGACCTAAAACAAGAGACAGTCAGAAAAAAGTATGTGTTTGTGTATGTATGTGTTTTATTCAGTGTGAGAAAACTTCAGGTTTCAGCTCCATATGGACCAATTCTACTTTTTCTACATCACTATGTATAAATCAAAGTATTTTCCATCCTTATTTCAGATCCTAAGCTAGATATTTTTGGGGAGAGATTTTCTTGGTAGAGTGCTTAACTCCACAGAGCAGAATAACATTTTGAACATCTTTCCTCAAGAGATCTCTTCACCTCTGCAATATTTCAACAACCGTCTGGCATTAAAAAAAAAGTAAAAGCTCTGGTTATGTTCTCCCTGTGCTGGTGACGTTCTAGGTAACAGCGTCTGACCCAGATAAGGACGCTGATCAGGAGGCTCTGCGGTACTCCCTCCATGGCCAGGGTGCTGAGAGCGAATTCATAATCGATGAGGTCACTGGCAAGATCTACGCCCAGAGGACGCTGGACCGCGAAGAACGCGCCGTCTGGCGCTTCGTCGTCCTGGCAACAGATGAGGGCGGCGAAGGCCTGACGGGTTTTACGGACGTTATCATCAACGTGTGGGACATCAATGACAACGCTCCCGTATTCCCCTGCGCCCTCAGTTGCCACGGAGATGTAGCCGAGAACTCTGCTGTCGGGACGTCCGTCATGGAGATGACTGCCACTGACCTGGACGATTCAGCAGTGGGACAGAACGCCGTGCTCTCCTACAGGATTGTGGGCATCTTAGATGGCACAAATGCCAAACTGGGAGGAGTGCCCACCATCTCGGAAATGTTCACCATCAACCCCACCACGGGAACCATCACTGTGGGCTTGGGCGGTCTGGACAGAGAGCAGGTGGAGTCCTACCTCCTCCTTGTCGAGGCCAGAGATGGAGGAGGCATGACGGGAACTGGAACCGCAACCGTTCAGATTACGGACGTCAACGACCACGCTCCCAGGTTCATCGATCACTCCTGTCAGGCAAGGATCTCTGAAAACTCAGAGCCCAACGCACAGGTGGGTCAACATTGGCTTTAACGCATGAAAACATCAAAACATTTTCTTAATCTTTGTGGGAATAAATGCAAATGTAGATTTCACACCTGATTGTTTTTGCTCATGTACGTTAAACCTTGAGAGGTTTTCAATGTTTCCCCGAGATGTGAATGTCTAGACCATCTACTTTCTGCACCTGTTTGCAGCTTTTAATGATTCAAAAACGCTCAGATATATCAGAATGTTGGCACTGATCCAAATTCATTTCCTAAACATGCCAGCTGGTAGTTGTTGATAACTTAAGTGGAACTAATTTGTTTTTTAATCTGCACAAAATCCTTTTTTTTAAAACAGGAAATTCTCCTGTAGCAGAGGTAAGGTGGATAACACGGAGGCTCTCAGTGCTTCTGCTGAGTCGTTAGTCAGCTTTACAATAAAGTCACTTCAGAACCAGTAATTGTTCATTTGATCAAAACGGCGTAACTGAAGACAGGTTCTTTGGGCTTTGTGGACTTTCTTTAGGCTTGAAGTGAGTTTTTATTCCTGTTGAGATGTGTAATTTGTAACTTTCATGCTTCCATTTACTGAAGAGTAAAATCATGTGGGTCCTTTAAAATGTTTAATAATAATAATAATGTGTTTTATTTGTCAGCGCCTTTAAAAATTCCCAAGGACACTTTACAAAATGAAAACAAAAATTAAACGGTAAAGAAATGGCTACAAAGAGACAAAACCACAAAATAACTACACAATTAAAGGCTAACTTGAACAGATCAGTTTTGAGTTATGCTTTGAAGGTCAGAAGAGACTCAATATTACAGATGTCAGGAGGTAGAGTGTTTCAGAGTTGTGGAGCAAAGTCAGAGAAGGTTCTTTTTCCAATGGTGCAGAGATGGACAGAGGCACACTGAGCTGGACGGAAGAGGAAGAACAAAGGGAACCTGATTGGATAGTGATGTGCAAAAGATAAGACAGATAAGGAGGCGCAAGGTTGTGGATTACCTAGGAATTTAAATTGAATTCAATAACAATAATAAATTCAAGAAGATAATGGACCAAAAGTTCTATGTCTTCATTGGTTATACTGGAAGTAAATCAGACCCTTGGCATGTTCCTATCGTTACCATGTTTGACAGTTAGAAGGTCTACAGTGTTTGAAAATCTTTCTTCCTGTCGCTGTGGTCAATCACCTTCATCGTTTCCTCCTCTGCGTGGTCAACAGAAATCTCCAGCCTTGTTTGGTAGTGTTGAATTTGGATCCTGTTTTTTTTCCCTCTCAGTCCATCTTCATGTTAAACCTGCATCCATGTAGGCTGGTCAATATAGCAAGAACTATTTATTGTTTCTTTTGTTTGGCCGTGACTCCATGGCAGCAATCACAGCCCCACAAACACAAACACTGCTCTAGACAAACATCTGTAATACATTTAATTAGGACACCAGTCACATAAAGAATCACATAAACATGTTTGTTCCAGGAAACCAACCAAATGACATGAACCCAACTGAACCAGAAACTTGATGAAACGCCTGTTTTCTTTTGGTCATCCTGCACCTTATTAAGAAAAATTTGACAAAATATTAAGTCGGAGTGTAACTCATAGCTCATATCATCATGTATTTCATTTCAGTGTTATATGGAGTAGACAAAATCCACATCAATTGAAACTTTCACAAAATGTATTTGTTTTTCAAAATCCACAGACACTATTGTTTCTTCATCCCAAGAGAAGAATTGTTCAAATTAATTATTAAAAGCCCAAAATTATGCCAATATCATTCTCTTAAATGTCTCTAGCCTTCTTCCCTAAGCTCTTCAGAATAGCAAATAGTTGGTGTTCTGACCTCATGCTGCAGATTTTCACAAAATGACAGAACTTTTGTGAATTCCAGGTATTTCCTGTGCATTTCCAAGGATACACAGGACCTGCTTTGTTTTCACAACGTTCCTGTTTGTTGTAAGGTTCTGGAGCTGGCTGCAGAGGACAGAGACACTGGAGAAAACGCTCAGCTGACCTTCAGTGTTGTGGCCGGAGATCAAGAGCAGAAGTTCTACATGGTCAGTCACAAGCAGGAGCAGCGTGGAGTCCTGAGGCTGAAGAAGCGCTTGGACTACGAACGACACAGTGAACAGAAGTTCAACCTCACGGTGAAGGTAAACAAAAGTATCTTTAAATCTTGATTATGTTGCTTTCTGTTTACTGTCATGAGGCCGAGGTTTGACATTGATTTGGATTCTTGTTTTGCTGTTTTTGTGTAGTGAAGGGTTTTGTTTACTGTGTTCTCTAACTCCCAGCCACAAGATTTCCTGATTTGTCTTAGGTACCAGCTCCCCACACCTATTGCTCATTTACAATCAGTACTAGTTATTATACCTCTTATTACTCAGACTTATTTCCTCAACCCTTTGAAAGATCCTCCTGTTCCCATCTGACACTGAAAGTTAGATCATACAAACTGTTTCTGTCGGTTTACTTTGAGTAGTTTTGATAAATAGCTTTTTATTTGTTTACATCCTCTGTGCATTTGACCCAACACTTTACTGTATTCGGGTTTATACGGAGGAGAGAATCCATAGTTAATGGATTCAGTATGGGTGATTAGAATAAAATTTAAACTGGAGCCAACTTGGTTTCTGAAGGTCTTAAGATTCCCAGCGGCACAATGTTTAAATTTCCTTTGGAGATTTTTTCAACTCTTAATAATTTGAACCAAAATATTGGAAGTGTGTAGAAGCAACAAATTGCTAATGCTAACAGTTTTTTATGTCTTTGAATTTACACTGCAGCTGAAAGATAGCCATCAAGACTTTATCCTGTTAAGATTCCCTTTTCATGACCGATACTTTTAGGACGAAGACTTGCACATTAATTTTGATTCATTATTTACATAGATGTCTTGTCTTTTCTTTTTTTTTGTTTCACCCACAAATGTGTGGCAGAATCTTATTTGTATTTGCACGTTACGGTATGTCCGTAAATCTGAAGTTATTTCCGCAAACAACATCAATAAACAAATAAAGCAGCTTCTCTTGGCCCACTGGGAGTTAATTTTTGCTTCAAAACAGTCTTATGGAAAATATTATTGTTGTGCTAAAAAGAATTAGCCTGTTAGTGAAGCTATTCAAGCCTAAAATGGCATCTCAATGCTAACATCAGCATCCACAGTCCACATTTCTATAGAAGTTCCATGAATGATCAGGAGTTCCTGAAACACTGGAAAGATGAATGGCCAGAATAACACTTTACTCCAATCTGATGTTAGAACAACCTGAATAATAGATTAAAAACAATAACGTTTTCAGCTCATATGTCTATTTATTCAATGATTTAGCAGTTAAAAAAGTTTTTGAATAGAACATTTAGTACCACTAATATTTTTTGCTTATACATACTGAATGGCAAGTCAGAATGTACAAGTGAAAAGGAAAACTGGAAAAAGTTTGAGTGTCATAAAGTCAATGTGTTTCTTTGTCCTTATGAAATGTGACACCGTGCGTCTCGTCTTCCAGGTGGAGGATCTGGATTTCTCCAGCTTTCTGCACTGCATGGTCGAGGTGGAGGACTACAATGATCACACTCCTGTCTTCATTCCACACTTCCTGTCCCTGGCGCCGCTACCAGAGGACGTCAGCGTGGGAACCAGCGTGGCCCGTCTGGTGGCCAGTGACTCGGACTCGGGCCAGAACCGCGAAATCACCTACAGCCTGTCGGAAGACTCCGACCCTGAGGGCCTGTTCACCATCGACCAGTCCGGCTTACTCTCGGTGGCCCGGCCGCTGGACCGAGAGAAAACAGCTCAGCATCACTTGGTTGTCATAGCAACAGATCACGGGATGCCTGCTTTGACAGGCAGCGCCACAGTTCAGCTGCCTCTGTTGGATGTTAACGATAACGGGCCAGAGTTTGAGGCCGCCTACTCTCCTGTGGTCTTTGAGAATGTGGCTGGTCCACAGGTAGGCTGGACTCGACGGATTATTAGATGCAATGATTTAGTTTACTTTAGTTTAGTTCAGTTTATTTTAGTTACAATCCACATTTAGCTGCATCAATGTTTCCGTTATCCTTACAGTGGTTCACACGTCAATTTGTTATGACATTAAACCCATTATTTTAGAAATTAAATAAAGATCAAACAACAAAAGTAAGCAAACACGTAATTTTGGTATAAACACATCATTAACTCAAGTGGAATATGTTCAGTTCACAACCAGAAACGTAAATTGTTTGTAGTTTACTAAAATATTGTTTTATTTTTTCTTTACATTTTTACTATCATTAAATGTAACACCATGTGTTGGTGGTTTTAAAAAAGCAACAAACTCCTCAAACTCTTCTTCCTGGTTCAGGTAGTGAGGTTGAACCAAACCTCGGCTCTCCTCCGAGCCGTGGACCGGGACTCTCCCGAGAACGGGCCGCCCTTTCATTTCACCGTCCCACCGGAGTATCGCTACAGCAACGACTTCTACCTGCAGGACAACCTGAACGGCACGTCCACGCTGACGGCCCTCAGGACATTTGACCGCGAGCGCCAGAAGGAGTTTCTCCTGCCCATCGTCATGAGCGACAGTGGTCACCCGGCCAAAACGGTGACCAGCACCCTGACTGTGACCATTGGTGACCAGAATGATCACGCTCACATGGCGGGAGAGAAGCAGATATCCATCAACAGCCACAGAGGTGAGGAGATGAAGGATGAGACGAGCCTCAGCCTTTTAACACAGGCTGCCTTGGAAAACTGCACACCTTAAGAGTTTCCACAGCTTCTCACACTACATCACAAACTTTAGAGTATTTACCACTAGATATTAAAGTAGTGGGAAAAACAAAGAAAAAAGATTCATGGTTCTCAAACTTTTTTTTTATTTTAACAAATACAAACCTGAAAAGTGTGGCATGAACATGTCTGTATGTCCAACTCCCTTGGAAAACACCTTTATCTTTGCAGTTGTGTAGATTAAAACAAGGGAGGGTCTTTTTCTACAAGGGACCCTTTTTGGGAGTCCTTTTTAAGCAAGGGACCCCTACTGCATAATGGGAAACTATTCACATGTTATGCTGGTCAAACACTCTGTCTGCACTGATGAAGAGTTTCTCATTAGTGTTTCAAGTGTTTCATATCAGCCCTTAAATTGTAATTTATTAGATTTTTTTGTTTTAAACATCTGAAATACTGTCTAACTGGTGGCATGACTTTTCCTGTTTTATCCACAATTTCCTTTTTTGTTTTTCACTCCACTTGTTCTTCTAATACAGACTCTGGTATTAGAAGAATAGTTTTGCACCTCTTACAGCAGGGAGAACTTTAATTTAGTTTTGTTTGAAAGACCTGCTGTCAGTGGCCAAGAATGACAACAACTTTACTCAGTCATGTATAACTTTCACATTCACACCTCCTGGCAAAGACAAACTGCGACTTAAAATTTCATCCTTTTAAGGTCTGCTTTTTATATTTGAAGGAAAAACTCTCAGTCATTTTCACGACCTTTAGTTCTTTCTTCTTGATTATAATCATTGTGCATTCTGACCAGACTTTTTTACATTTTTCTGGGCAAATTAATTCCAATCATGCATGCTGGGAAAAAAATGTGAATGAAACTTGAAAAGCATTTGCATTCAGTCCTGTTTTTTTTTTTTTTAATTGTTTTATTTTTGAAAAATTCCCAGCAAAAGGCACTTTACAAGAAGAACAGGTACAATAAATATCCAATTTTGCACATATGCACATAAATCAAATATATTTTTATATCTCTCAAGCCAGACTGATTATAAATGGAATATAGGACAGCCCTTCCTTCTCAGCTTCAAATCCTCAGTGAGTGAAAAGTTGTGAATGAAAGAAAGTCCAGCCAGTTTCAGTTGAAGACTCATTGAGTAAGAAAGTGCTGACCCTAGACAGAATTTGGAGGTCTAAGTTTGAAGACGCATAAAAAATGGGCAAACAGCAATATTGGTGCCAAAAATAATACGTTACATTATCGTCACAGGTACAGAGCAGCTAATTTATGCCTCTGTTTTCAGGTCGCATGCCAACAACAGTTCTTGGGAAGGTCTATGCTCCTGACCCTGATGACTGGGATAACAAGACCTACGTCTTTGAGGGACACATGCCAAGGTAAAACAGAATGAGCAGATAAGTGCTTCCTGTTTTAATGTGTTTGTTTTGTACTGTTTTCTTTTCTAACCGTACATAAAATGAAAGAAAATACCTAATAATGCAAATGTGGAAAGCCCTTGCATTATTAATGTGGAATGTGGAAAGCAAACGCTGAATTTGTTCTTTTTTTTTACTGAAAACCATTAGTATTTGTTGCTACTTGTTTTTCGGTCAACTGCTAAGAACCCAAAACATACCTGCCTTTCATTTGAATGTAAAATTAATATGACGAAATTGCTGTATATGATCAGCTTAATGTAGAAAATGTAGTGGTATAACCATCTAATCCAAGTAGACTCAGATGTTAGTTACATTTTAATAACTGTATGTCGTAAGTGCCACGCATGTTGTTAATGCTATGAAATCTGCATAAATGCTATTCAAATGTTGCAGAAATCTCTCAATGATAAATTCATCCAGTTTCATGCTACGCTCTGTCTGTGCTGGTGAAGAAACGTTAGAGCTAATTGTAATAATATAACAATGTAACAATTATCTGGGCTCTTGGGGGCAACAGTGGACTATTAATAGAGCTCTGGACTTTCATCCCCAGACTCCCAGTTGATCACAGATTATGGAAGAAAACAAAAGTGAGTTGTTGACAGTGCAGTGCATCATACTCTTTCCTGATGTAACAAAAGAGTATAAATATCAGAAAAATCAAATTTAATGTGTGTGCTCTAATTTATTTATTTATTTTTTTTCACATTTAGCTTCATTAAAAAATATATTTTTACATACAGCAATAGAACAGAAACAGCGTGGCCACAGATTCTCATTTTAACGTGACTGGCACGAGATGCTGCTACTGAATCTATTCACAAACTCTGGCAGTTAAACGCTCACATTAAAAAAGACCTCAGTTTGAATGAACAGGAAGAAAAGTTAACCTAAAAGCTAGTCTACAGCCACATCCAGACCTGACTTCTAAACTACAAAATTGATCTATTTTTATTGTTGTCTTTCACACAAACACTGCTGCCACTACTTTTACTGTGGATTGTAAAGCCCATGGTTGTCTATGCTAAAGATCAAGTAAAGATCAACCTCAGCAAACACAAATTACAAAGTGCAACAGTGCACAACATTTTCCCAGCCTGTGATACTTGGGAGATAATTCCTGCTGCTGGTAACGTACTGACTGACTGCTTCAGAACCGATCTGATCCGTTTCCTCAAACATCTCTGTTTACTTGCCAGTCTTGTGTGTTGTCACACAACCAGGAGGACAACACAACATGAGCCATTGATTGTGTGTCTCCTGATTCCCAGCAGGCTGCCAGTCCTGCTCACATCAGAGCACATGTGGGGCTCACTTGTCTAGCCAGATGGCGGAAGAGATGATGTTCCCAAGCTCAAAGTTGCTGCATTATTCTGGAGCTGTGAACCAAAATAGTACATCAGCAATGCTGGTTGATTATAAAACAACAATACAAAAATGTTTTTGAGTTGCGAAGAAGTTTATGGTTTTGGCATCACCAAACCTTACTACAAACATCAGAGTTGCCATATTTTATAGAGTATTTAATACCAATCCCCCTAACCACTGAGCATTTTTTTTCATTGTGATATTCAAACACATTTCACCAGGCTCTGGTCTGTTCTGTTTGATCAAATAAAGAGCTGGCACAAACCTAATATCCAAGCATGAACAGATTTATTTATTGTTTGAACTTACTGTCTTATTAAAAATGAGATTCAACTTTTATTTAACAAAAGATTGTTCCTGCCAAAAACACATCTAACCAATATGCCAAAGAGCCAAAACATTAGGACCACTGACAAGTGAAGCCCTTAAGGTAAGAAATTGTCTGTGGTTTTCCAACTGTTTTAGGGTCATTCTGATGTGCTGAATCCAAAATTTACATTAGTTTTGCTCAATCAGGTCAAGATTTTGAACTATAGATGCAACATGAGCCTCAAAACGCATGACTTGTTCTCACATCTGGATCAGTTTCCTGAGAAAGTTGCCCTGGTACATGTAGGCAACCAACTTCTTCATATGGTAGGCCTAAAGTATCACAACACATCATGTGGTGATAAATATGACAGAGCAAAACTTTTTAAAGGTTGCAAAAGTTTGCGAGGCACTTGATGTGTTTGTTGGGGACATAGTCATAGAGACGTTGTTTGCTGTGTCATGACTGTTGAGATTCTTGCAAACAGAACACCTTTAGCTAAAGGAGAAATAACTAACTTTATAATGAATAATCAAATCTGACATTCAGAACAATGAGAAGCTAATTTTTAAGAATCAAATAAAGTAATCCTTTGGTACTTTGGTACTAATTACTGAACCAAGTGCATGAAGCACTCTTTATACAATGTTCTGTAAATGAATTAAATGCAGCTCTTGTCACTACAAGTAGTATTTTATTTGATTTTCCAAGGCTCTGCCTCAGATTTCCTCTGTAATTAAAGTGAACGAGTTCATTGACTGTACAAGAGCAGCATTGATTGAAAGAATCAAGTAAAATTATCTCCTCACACATTTAAGTGTTGAAGTTTTTTTTCCCCTTTTTTAAAGCCGCTCTCTCTAATTCATCACTTTTTTTTCGTAACCTCAAGAGCAGACTGACAGCGGATTCCAAGTTTGTTTCTGTCTTGATCAAATGCTGATCAAGACAGATCAGCATTTGAACAAGGATGCTTCTCTCATCCCATTGGGGGATCATTTCTGCTTCTAAACTGATCTGATGGGACACTGGAAAAGATTACTGTTGTGTTCAAATTGTCCTAAAAGCAGTTCCTATCAGCAAAGCATCTCAGTGCTAAACATGTATCAGCAGCATCCCAAAGCTGATGTCCACAGTCCACATTTCTAAAGAAGTTCCACAAAAGATCATGAGTTCCTCAAACCCTGGAATGCTGAATGGGTAAAATTACACTTTGCACCAGTATGACCATGAGAACCTAAGTAACAGATTAAAAACAATAATTATCTTTGTCTATTAGTATCTTGTTAAGAATTTTAGTCGAGTCCCACAGTATTTTTATACTTCTATGTAATAAATTGACAGCTAGTGAAGGTGAAAATGTGCATTAACTAGGACAATTAATGTCTGTTCTTAACCATTGTTAATAGTTTTTATAAGGGGGCGATTACTTGTTCCACTTACAGCCAGGTTGAGATGGAAAACTTTTCACAACTGTACCAAACAGCATGTGCTCTCAATTCCTTAAGTTTTGTGTTTGTGTTTTCCCGTAGTTACTTCATCCTGAACAAGCGTACCGGGTTCCTTATCATCAAGGAGAACACCCCACCCGGCACCTACCAGTTCCAGGTCCGTGTGTCTGATGGAATTTGGCCCGATGCCGTCTCCACAGTAATTGTATACGTAAGGGAGCTGCGAGATGAAGCCATCTACAACTCTGCATCCCTTCGCCTCACAGGTGAGAGGGACTCCTTTTGCTGGAAATGCCACAGCAAGTTTTGGTTTTTTACTAGATTTGCACAGCAACAAAGTCACAGTTGGTTTTTACCTCATGAATGTGCTTTGATATAAACCACCGGTTCACAAAGTTGGGCTTTGGGACCCCACTCTGCATCCTGAAGATGGAAATTTGGGGGACTTCAGATCCCCTTACGAAACAAATCAAAATGCCAAAAAAGACATCAGGAAATGATTAGCATTTCAACAATATAAAAGGTGAGAAGACTTGAAAATAAATTAAAGCAATAAATGAAATGAAAGCAACATTTAATAATAAATAAACTGGCTGTGGATGCAGGTTGTGTCGTCTCTGTGTGGATCACGGCCCTCTTACATTTCCGTTGTTTGGGTCTGAAGCTGGAACATTGAGAAAGCACTGATCCAAATATTAAGATTTGTTTCAGGGTCGTCCAGAACCTCTGCTCCACTTTCACATTTCTTTTTCTGTCTTAAACAGATTTTCTTCCAGGCTAATGTTAGCTCCATCCTTCTTCTAATTAAGACTGACAAACTTCTCTTTTCCTACTAAGTAAAACCATTCCATAAAGCATTTTGCCACTGGGATGGTATGGTTAGAGTAATGTGTAAGATGAGTTCCACATAGGTTTTTTTGGCATTAAAAATCCATGCCAAAAAATGTCACTTTTAATCTCATCTGACCAAAGCGCTTAGCGAATGTTTGCTGTGTGCCTTACAGCAAACTGGATGTTATAGTTTTCTTTTTTCTTTTCTAACTTTTTTGATCTCTTTGAAGACCACAGTCAGTATTTGTGCTGTCAACAGATTGTTTTGTTGAAGCCAGAGCAGGAGGCTGGGTTTATGTTCTGAGCTGTTTCTCTGATTGAGACTCTGATGGGCCGACCTTTCAGGTAACCTGCCATTTCTTGGTAGGTTTACAGTATTGTCAGATGGTGGACTGAACACTGCTATAGTTGTTTATATATGAGATATTCAGACCTGGTGTGTGGTGTTACAGCCTGACTCTGCTTTAAACTATGGCAGCATGTCTGACCCACTGGCTGGTTCTTTGGTTTTTATGATACTCTTTGTTCGTTGATTTATCCATGGATTTTCACCACCCAGGATCAAACTATTGACAAAACAGGTTACTTCTAAACGGCTTCTATTTTGGGTTATCACTATAAAGAGAACAGAATATGTAAAATGCTCCCTGAAAGTTGAATTCTGAGAAAAGAAATTTATGTAATGCAAATTGGATTGAGGCTGTAGCACAAGAAATATAGCGGAATATTGGCGACGTGAATACTTTCCAGATGCCCTGTTGGCTTTCCTCACTTTTTGAAATCCACATATGTTTCACTGTTAAGCTCTACTCTAAACGTATCTGTATCTCTGCTGTATCTCTGAGCAGTAGCATAACAGCAACAGGTACTGCTGGACTTTACAACATCACCCACATGGAAAGAAAAAAAAAAGTGTTGAATATTCTCATTACTTGCACATTCCTCTCAGATTTCAGAACACTGCTAATTATTGTTTACTTTTCTCGTTTGCAGTGTTTCAAAGTACATCTAAGGATTTCTTTTTCCCCTCTCCCATTATTAATTCCTCTCTCCTGACTCATGGGATCTCTGCTGCTGTCAGAAAAGCCTCTTTTCATTACTTATGCTTGCGAAGTAATTAGTTGTGGATTTGCTCAGCTTGCACATTTCCCTCACATGACGAGTGGCATCCATCATTACCTGATGTATGGCGCGTCTCATTCTGCTAGGAATTAAATTCGCTTTAGAGGAATAGGACGTGGCTGAAGGATTTTATGATTTCAGAGATAGATAGAAGGAGACAGAGAGAGGCGGATGATGCTCTGGGAAGACGAGAGTGGAGCAGAGGCCTCGCAGTCGCAGATAAAAGGATTTCTTTGTGTTCTAAAACAAGAGGAAGAGCTTAAATCATGCTCTCAAAAACCCGAGGCAGTGAGGGGAAAAGCAGGTTCACACATTTAGGCCAATCTTTATAAAACCGAATATCTACGCTACATCATTAAAAATATATCATGCTTATGGTCAAAGTGGACAGAATATGTCAGACCTGTTATGTCTGATTTTTTGTTAACCTTGCTATCATTCAGATTGACGTTTTGATTTGATATGTGATGTCAATGATTGTTGGTACTCAGGGTAACCTGCCACTCCCATTCAAGCTCTGGTTGGTGTTTGTCGGTTTTGCTTTGTCTTATTTTTGTTCTTGTTGTTGATTTGCTTAGTTTATTTTTTCTGTCAAGAAAAATGTTTGAAATCTGAGAGAATAAAAATGAGAATGATATCAATATAACTATATCATTGTAATGTAATATGCTTTCTCAATAAAAATGTTGAAAATGTTAATGTTAATAGGAACATTATATAGATAATACTCCTATTAACATGAACAATTATATATATATATAATATATATATATATATATATATATAATATATATATATATATATATATATATATATTTATATATATATATATATATATATATATATATATATATATATATATATATATAATATATATATATATATATATATAATATTATAATTTTATTATAATAATAATAATAAAATTTTATATATATATATATATATATATATATATATATATATATATATAATATATATATATATATATATATATATATATATATATGTGTGTGTGTGTGTGGGGGGGGGGTTGGGTGGGTGCAAAAACATGTGTCAGTAAATAGGTAAAAAGTTAATTTGTTTTATAAAATAACCCTTCAAACTGCACTTGATTTTCATGAATGAAACTTATATTTGTACTGTTTAATCTGCTTTTTATCATAAAACTATTCCATGACTTCCTTAAGAAGTCAGCTATCAATGTTCTTTGTTTAATAGGGTATCTGTTGTAACCAAGCAGCGTCGATTAGAAGAAAGAAAGCTCAGGTGTCAGACACCTGTGTGCTCTCGCTGTCTAAAGTCGCTCAAAGCCTGTTAACCTGCAGTTCGGTCTGTAATCATTTCAGGAAAATGGTAAACTTGCCCTTTGAAAGCAGAATGTAGGTTTAATGACTCCTCGAACATCCTGGGATACAGAAAGCTCCGGAATTTTTTATTTTTTTTTGCGTTTGTGTGCATAAGTGCATACGCGTGCGTGCACAGATAATGTTTAACTGTAGCCATTTCCAGGATTTTATTTTTCCTTGTGGGGCTTTAGAGTAAACACTCATTGATTTTCAGTGCCGGGGATTATGAAAATATTCTACTTATAGCATTACTTACACCCTTCTTGACATTCTAAATCCCATTTCAAGAACAAATGTGAAATGCAATGAGGAAGCTCAAAGAAAGCACTAGTTAAATCTGCCTGACTGGGATTAAGGCTCTCTCTCTTTCTCTCTCTCATCCTCCTTTTCTCTCTCTCTTTTGCTTTTCCAATATTGATAGAAAGGTAAAAATAGAGTAAACAAAACGTCCTTGAGATGTCCAGGCCCCACAAACCGAGCCCATATAAAACCACGGTCACTCGGTTCATTCAGTGTGTACAGCAGGCTGAGGCAATAATATTACACATTACAAGTTGATTTCTGCTCAGTCTTAGTCTGCAACAGAATAAGAGACTATCAAATCCTTTTTTGTCTGTTTTCACATCTTTGCACCCTCCAGAGTGAATTCATTATTACTTCTACTTAAAGAAAGAAGAGAATCAATCTGTTTTGGAATAATAAGTGAGATTCATTTTGTTTGCTTCTCCCACTTGTCTAACACAAGTCGACACTAAGACAGAATTATTCTGCGGGAAGAACATCACAGTTGGAGATGGTTGAACTGTTTAATTAATCACATTAGTCAAATTAAAAATACATTTTCTGCGTCACCATACATTCTTTTCTGACATCTAATCATGGCTGAAGCAATGTTACGAAAAAAAAAGTAGAATTCTGGAAATTGATAAACATGAATATCTAGTTTATTTACTTTGTATCAACATTATTTGATTACTCTTTAAACTACTGTTTTTCCAACCTAGAAAAGATATTAGGACACAGGATACTTATCTAGCAACCCTGAACACGAGCACCTGGCTTACATACTTTAGATCAACTTTAGATCATTTTTCTTCTTTTCCTCTTTCCTTTGGTTTACTTTGTATTTCCTTTTAATTCCTGAAAAGTTTTTTGTTTTGCCTTGTTGCTGAAAATGTGCTGTGTAAATGAAATTAATGATAACTTTACCTTTACCTTAATGATAACTTTATCTGCCTGGGGTAAAAATAATTAGGTCTAATCTGTGTATGAGAGTTTTATGTAGGGTCTTAATAATCTTGACCCCTATCATCAGTAAGTGCTTAAAATATCTGGATTACCTTCCATAAATATTTTTTGTAATGCCAGGAGTAAAGAAAAATACTTCTACTTGAGTTGACAAAGCTGTATTTAAGTTGCTTAAGTTTTTTTCACTTGTAATTTAGAGAGATATTAGGATAATTTATTAATATATTTTTCCATGTTTCATTAAGGTCTTAAGTTAAAAAAATAAAACTTCAGAAAAATGTGAACATCACCCTGAAGAGCATCTGAACGGCATCTTGATTTATATTGGCACAGATGCAGAGCTGAAGAAAACTAAATATAGATCACTTTCCAGTCAGCATATGTGTAAATGTTTGAGAAGATCTCTGTCTTAAAGGAAACGGTTATGAGTCGGATTTAAAAGCTGGTGAAGTCAAACATCTGCTTAAGTACAGAAAACGTCCATGTTAGGACAGTATGTTTGATGTTTTCTGGTCAGGGTGAAGCAGGTCACACGAGGAGGAATAATCCTCTTTGAAGTCTTTTTTTTGTCAATAGATTGGACACTACTTGCTTTTTTTAAATATATACCTTTCTATGAACTTTAGATGGAACAAAATGTACAAAACCTAAAAACAAAAATAAAGTTATTTTACTTAAAAATCTAAAATTTCTGTAGGTCAAATTTGAAAAAGAAGCTGTTTTGTGTCACGTTTGATCTTGGAGCATTGTGATTGGTGGAAGAGATCATTTGAACATTCTCTTTCTCTCCCTGCTCAGCATCCATCCTGGGATTTGGGATCACAGTTCAGGTGTTGACATGGTAACCAGCTGCTCTCAGTTGTTAAAACTGTTGCCACAGTTACACATAATAACCGTTCAAAAGTTATAAAGTAAGAGCAAAAACCCTTTTATCTGCTCAGCTTCCAAAACCAGGAAAAAATATCTGTCCAAACATGCAACGCCTAAACCAGAAGATATAAACAAAAAATCTTTGAAATATAAGTACAAATCAGAACTAATGCTGCCATCATTCCAGGACAACATGAACTTAAAAAACATAGTTCCAAAGTAAATCTTGTGAAGATTTTCTGAACTAAACTGATACTAAAAACCAAAATGTGCATGTCTGCCATGAATCTGATTGGCTAAAAATAGGCAGCGAGTCGTCATTGTCACAGCAGCATGAAACTAACATTGGAATTGGCATGTTTTGTTTTGTGAAGCTCCTTTCCGTTGGTATCACTGCAGTCAGTCTCTTTCATTGACAAGTGATACTCCAGGTTAACATGCAAAACCAGCAGCTGATGGTGAAGGAGCTGTGCTGCAGTCTACTGCACGTCTGTTGAGAATAAAGATGTGAGCTTTTCCTTGCTTCTTTTCCTTCTCAGACAGTCAGGGAGAAAAAGAAGACACAATGAAGCGTTTAGGCTGAAAGTTTTAACTGAGCATGCACATCTCTCTTTGGGCAGAAATTCAGCTGTGGTGTCTGGAAGTTGTATTAGTATTAAGTTGTATTTAGTGGTTAGTATGCTGATTAAGATGTAATCTATGTAGAATTAGCCCATAAATTAGATGTAGCTTCACATCCCGTTTGAGCTGCATCTACAGATGCTGCAGGCGCCACAATTTGGCCGTCATCCCAGGCTTTAAACGCTTCTGCTGGGTTTCCTACTTTTAGTTAATAAACTTTCCAAGCTTCACACTGTTTAATCACTCTACTACTCACAACAGTAAACAATAATGAACAGGATATTTCTTTCTATTTTTTCCCCCACCTGCATGTGTGAATGCTAAACCCACAGGCAGGAGAGAGACTGCAGTGGCTCCAATAAGCCTCTGGGAAGGAGAAAGCAGGAGTGTGTTGTGAGGTTGGATCAAAGCCAGGTGCAAAGGCTGACATTCTGTATTAGGAGTTACAATCCTTCTTCCCCCAGCCCTCCTGACTGTGTCTCTGTCTGCCCATGTCCTTGTTTCTCCCTGTGGACCCACTGATGGGAGCTGACATTTGCCTCAATCCCTCTCGCTGTATCTGCTGAGCCTGTTCTGAGCTCCCAGTCTTGTCTCCTAATGTTCCGACTCTGACTCTCTTGCTGACCTAATCATCCTGCCGTCCTACAACACACCTAATCCTGCTGCTGGAGAGTAAAGCAGCATTTGCATAATATGCAACGAAAAGTGGGAGATAAATAATTAGACAGGTTTCTTTGTTTTTGTTTTGGAGTTGGAGCTAAGGGTGAATTCACACCAGCCCTGTTTGTTCCGCTTTAATAGACCTGCTCAAAAAGGAGGAAGTGGACATCGACGCGGAGCATCATGGGTAAAATTAACCAAAAGCAATTAATATCTATACTGATTGACATCATCATGGATTTTCTGAACTGGGATTCTCTGCTAGAATCTCAACCAGGCCAATCAGTGAACATTCAGGTGTTGTCTGAACAATGAGTGTGGTTTTCTGTGCTGTTTTAGAACACCAGGTAGTAGTCTGCCATTTTGGCGACTAGGTCTATACAATTCCTATTGAAATATATTTTATTAATCCCAAAGGGAAATTAAATGTTGTTATAACTCATTTAGATTCTTCAAGGATTAAGATTCTTCAAACATTCTAGAAATGCCCTCCCTGATAAACTACATTTTCTACTTTTGTCCATTTTACTGCTAATCCTACCACTACTTAGTATTGCTCTACCTCATATAATGCTAATAAAATACCAATGTTTGTGTAACAAAAATATCCTTGTTACAAAAACTACTATTGGAGACCAGTAATGCATCCTTCCTGTCTGCTTTCTACAGACATCACTGCCAAGGAGTTCATGGAGCTCAGAGGGAAGCAGCGTAGCCGCTACGAGCTGCTGGTGGACTTCCTGTCGGAGATGCTCTCCGTCCCACCGGGTGAAGTTAACATCTTCAGCCTCATGGACGTGAAGGAACGAATGCTGGACGTCCGCTTTGCTGTGAGCGCCGGTCTCTCCTTCCTGCAGCCGGAGAAAATGCACGGCTACCTTGCCGCCCACAAACAAAAGGTAGGTCACTTTGTACATCTCACAAGCTTTCATCCATGCCGACAGTCCTGGTAAACACAATAAAGTCTTGTCACCTTGATTGTTTTGTCGGAGTCTCTGCTCTCACTGGACTGACGGCTCTACCTCCTGAGTGGCACTCACATAATCTAGTCTACTGCACCGAGTAAGTGCACTTTCCACCTGTGGGTGTCGGTGCGGCCGAGCCTTAAAAGCGGGGTTGTGCTCTCTGTTTGAGCTGACGTTTGTTTAGAGCTGCGGTTGTACCTGCAGGGCGTTGTGGTTCAGCTGACAAAGTGCTTCTGCTGCAGCCATAGAGGTTGCTAGTTTGATTTCCGACTTGCAAGTGTCAAAGTGTCTTTTACCATATTGACAAAGGTCACAACCTCAGTTTTCCTAACCTAATAACGTGCTGACTTACACATGGTACTGACTTTAAGTGTGGGTGGACCTCATTTAAATGAAAGGAGAAAGAAAACGTGAATTTGTTCACACAGGAATAATTATTTCAAGTTTGACTTCAGGCAAATGTGGCTCCATTTGTAACTTGTTGATCCTGGTCGACAGTTTCACCCTCCCGTCAAACAGGGGGCAGTAATGGCAGGTTTTATCTGCTTCATTTTAAAGAAGGATTTTTCATCTATTGCTCGTTTTGATTTTTGCACTGGGTTGCATGAAGTAAGTTTCTGTCTGTCCAGTAAGTTTTGCTGTTCCAGTAGTTCCTTTAAAGCTGCGGTAGGTAAGTCTTATGAAAGTAAATATTTTTTTACATATTTATCAAAACTGCCATTTAGTCCTGACAGTAGAACATGAGAGATACTCTGAAAAACATCTTTCTCCTCTGCCTCCTCCTTGTGGTCCAACTGCCACCTGCAGAAGTGCACTGCTCTTGATCAGAAACGACCAATCAGAGGCAGGAGGAGGGTCTTACAGGATCAATTATGCTCATATATACACCCTTCTCACTTTAGAAATTTGGACAGAAACTGCATTTAACAATAATAAAAAAAGTAACAAACTATAAAAAGTTTAAAAAGCAATTGCCTCTATTGGCTGATTTTGTACATATATGAACATTTATATTATATAATTAAACACTAATTGTTGCCCGTGTGCAGTTGTTTTCTTCCCAAACTAGACAAGAAAACATAGTGAGTACATCAGGGCTTACTGTAGATAAAGTCTGAAACATGTGGCCTTTCACTTCACTTCTTTCCCCTACAGATCATCCATATTTTCTCTGACTTTCGTTTCCAGTGGAAAGGATAATCAGACTGATTACACTATAGCTCCACACTCGACTGTCAGGGAATATGTAAACAAGATGGCAATGTAAACAGAATTAAAGCGTGCCGTCGTTTCACCTGATTGAGAACCACACAGTAATAGGTGAATTTTTTTTTTTTTTTTAAGTGCGTGTCAGTGTACAACTGGAAAGCGGAGGAAACAGTTTTAGGAGCATAAAACAGCATCACTACAAAAGTGCCCAGCAGTCAATGCTGGCATTGAATGTGCATCCCCGTCTGAGAATGGCAGTGCGGTGAGAACGGCTCTTTCAGCCAGCAGCAGGTAATTCTCCCTGAGGGTTTGTCTGAGACCGTTTGAACCTGAGTGATGACCCAGATCTGCTGCTAGCCACGCACAGGCTGCATCCGCCTGACCGGAAAGAAGGCCTGGAATAACTTTTCTCTGAGTTGAACAGGCTGGTTACCATGCCGGCACGCATCTTGAACTTCATAGAAAGCTGTTAACATTAACATCTAATGGATTGTGCAGATCTGCTCACCATAGAAAAGAGCATGTGAATTTAAATGCTGATTTCAAAAGCATCTACAGAAAGAACAGAGTTAATTTTAATATGTGTTATTAGTAAAACACGGCGCATCGTTCTCTGTGGGTTATAGTTAATAGTTCATGGAAAGAATGGGTAAGGATGAGGTTCTCTGTCTCCTTTATCGTTTGACTGTATTTGACAGTGACAGTGTAGCTTCATCCTCCAGGCTCCCTCTGGCTGGCAGAGAAAGAACCCACTGCTGCGCTGCAAAAAACAAATACTATCTGGTATTTTAGCTCAAATTTCTAGTGTAAATATTTTAGTAGATTTGAAATAAGTCAAAATAAGATGTATGCCCTTGTCAATAATTCCTTAACATTGATAAAAATAAATAAATAAAAGAAATACTAGTTCCACTTATGCCATATTATTTCACAAACAAAATGTCTTGTTACAAGCAAAATAATCTGCTAGTGGAACTAATAGTAAGATATTTGCACTAGAAACTGGACCAAAAATATTTGGTAAGAATTTCTGTTTTAAAGTGTAAAAACTTGTTCTGTGGAGATATGTTTTGTAAAATCATGGAATCCTTTGGGTCACCTTTGGCAGCTTATTCGTGTTTGTTGTATTAATATGTCTAATTTCAGTGTTCATTAATGTAACATCTACCCATGGCAATCTGAAGCTCCACCATGTTTTTGTCAAAATTGTTGAGTCAAAAGGAAATTAAAGAGAAAAAACTGAAATCAAACAAATTAAGTAATCTTTTTTTTTTTTCTTTTTTTCGTTTTTTTGCAGGAAATGTTTTTTATTCATTGTAAAGCCAAAACATTTTTTTTCCTTTGTAGCAGAAAGCAGGTAACATAGTGGAAACCTCGTCCACTACACATTCATACAAGAGGTAGCAAACTTGTTCAGAGGACAAAAATATTTTATTTCTTTCTAGCTCTTGAATGCCCCCCCCCTTTCCAGTGCCACCCTGGGCAACTGCCCATACCAAAAACCGCCACTTTATTCACATTTTAAAAAACTGCTGTATTATCTCACACCAAACATGTCTGAAGATTCTCAGTTTTCCAGGTTTTATTTCATTCAGGAAGTTTTAAAGGAAGTCATTTTGTTTTAAATGTTAATTCATGTCCCTCTCCATTCATTTCCTGAGACTTCTTCACATTTTTCTGTCATGCATTGTTTTCTGTGTGCCGAGTCCATAACACTGACCGTTCCAGGATATGTGTATATATGCGTAAAGCTTTGGCTTAGATACTGCTCTATCTTATTTCAACAAATTGATTTTTTTGAGCAGTTAATGACTAATCAATGACTAAATTAATTGACACCTGACCTGCTTATGTATAATTTTAGACACTGGAAGTGGGATTGAGTCAAACTTTATTCCTCACTATCAATGGCTTTAGAAAGCTTTTATAGCTGGTTCCTACACTTTTAGTGTTGACATTTTCAGGTTAAGGTTACTTTAAAACATATATGAAATATCCATACAAAGCGAAGTCTGTCAGATGGAATTTCTTGTTTCAGAAGTCTGAGGAATCGCCTGACCTCTGCTAGCATGCGCCTTCAGGAGGTCATCCTCCCAGGCTGCTTTGTCTCCGTTCCACCGCCCAGAGACACGCAGGCGGAGCTGGTGTCCTGGGATGGGCTGATGAGCCACACTCTGTTTGCATTTGCATGTCTGTTAGGGGGTAGAAACAGTCAAACCCGGTTATGATTGCGCTGGTCAGTTCAGGTGAATAACCACAGTCAGCCCTCAGCCTTTGGTCCTGTTTAATACGGCTATTTTCAAGAATGACAGAAAGAGTGGAGATGCAGCCAGGATGAACGTGCGCGGATAAAAATTGAGGAGAAGAGTGGCATGGAGAGACAAGCCTGGACTGAGGAAGAGAAAGAGGGGAGAGCACAGAGGTAGAAACTTTCAGGTGTGATTTGTGAGAAGAGCACAGAGCATTTCATCTGAATTCAACCAAGTTCTCTGGAGAAGACATTGATCAGAATGAGATGTGAAGCGTGGCGAGGGGGAGGATGAGCAGGAGGAGGGAGAGGAATGGAACGAAAGGAAAGCGGTGCAGAAGATGAAGCGGTGTTTATTATTAATGTGCTCAGTTCTCCAGTAATGGCTCAGAAGTAGATTGATATGAAAAAGAAGACCAGATTCTCTCCGACCCTCTGTTCCTGCCTGCTGGAGCTCAGAACTGGGTCTGATCCGTTCCCTCTGGGCTCTCACTCCAAAACTGTTTACCTGACATTAAACTTTGATTCTTTAAAAAAAAAAAAAAAAAAATTATGTTACTGATGTTCATTCATCCTGTTAACTAACGCTGCATAGACAGCCACATGGAGGGAACTGGAAACTTCTAAATGTGTTGGAGGAAAGCCCTAAGCTTTAAAGAATTAAAATGAAATCAATAAGTTCTGGGGACACACCGATCCACTTTTTTTCACCTCTGATATCAATATCTGAGTTTTAATATTGACCGATACTGATCCGATGCAGAAAAACAGTGCTGGCCTGACTTAAAACATTTCTTTTTTTAAACACAGACATAAATACTGAAATATAAATGTATTTGATAACTTAAACAAACAAACAAACAAACAAAAAAATAGCTTCATAACAAATCTTTACCCAAATGGTTCAGAAAGGGCAATTGAGATACAATGTAAAATAAATAATAAAACATCACAATGTTCAGAGTGCAAAGCATAGTACTGGCTGAATAGATCGGCTCTTATAGATTAGCCACTGATGGCTGATATAGATTTCTTTTGAAATATCAAGACCTATACAAACATTAATATTAGATTGGCGCATTCATATTTATTTTCATTCTAATTGAATTTAATTTAATAATTTTTTAAAGAGCAATTCACAATTCATTTCATTTATGGTTCAAGTTCTGCTTTCTTCATTATTTATGTATTTTAGTATTTGGATTTTTTATGTATTTTTATATATTAAAATACAGAAAGGAAAGTTTTCACCACTCAAACTAATGTAAAAAAAATCTGCTGCTTTATTTTGTATCACAGAAACATGCATCCAGGTATAGAGACTAAATTATTAAAGAGAGAAGTGCATACAAAATTGAAAAGTCCATTTATTTCAGGAAGACATTAAATAGATTAATTACACACAAGTGGGTGTGTGTAAGCCTTTTTTCTGTTATTTATGACAATTTTCCACTTACAGCTAATGAAAATATGACATTTAAAATGCGAATGTTACACCAAACTAATAAAAACTATCTTCCTTGGGCTACGTGTAAAATTTATTAATTACCTGCTTCAGTGATGTTATTTCAGAACTTTCAATCTGACAAGCGACCTGCATATGGACGCATATTCTAATTTATTGGATGTGACTGTTTAATGGACAGAACACGGACTAAAAAATGGATGTTAGCCAATGACCACTTTGTTGTAGGAAAGTTTCCTCCGGCTGTACAATTCATCTGTTACAGTTGGAGTGTGTGGGTCGAGTCTCTTCTAGTATGAGATGTACCGCTGAGGAACATTGCAACAGCAAAAGAAGAAGCAACCAAGCATCCATTTCCCTTTTTTCTATTATTTTATATCCAACACAGTTCAGAGTAGACGGTGTGTAAATTATCCAAGAACATTTAGAAATTGTACGACATCTCAGGGTGTCTTCATCCTCGCTCTTCATCCTCGCTCCTGTCCTACAGGCAGCTTTCCGACAGCTTTTCAGAGACAATTAAGCTATTTTAATGATTTAAATATGACTGCACCACAAAGCAGGACTTGCCAGTAAATCAATTTGTTGCTGAATCTATGGCCTTGGCTGAAAGTTACTGTGTTAAACCAGCTGCTGTTTCTACTGCTGACAGCCAGTGCTGACATCAACAGATTTCTGTCTGCTGCAGAGTTGGCTGATGCTCCATATATATATATATATATATATATATATATATATATATATATATATATATATATATATATATATATATATATATATATATATATATATATATATATATATATATATATATATATATATATATATATATACACAAATATAAATAAATAAAAAATTTATGAGGTTTGCTCACTTTTACAAAAATTTTAAAATAAGCCGTCAATCTAGAAGTGTCCCCTACAAGTTACGTTTTTTAGAATAGCATGTTTCAGCAACAGGACGGTTCAAAATGCTTCATGAGGACATGATGCAGTAACTAGTTCTGAAACCAACAAAAAACATTACATTTTGTCAAATGGCATCATCAAAATACTCCAATACACATCAAATATATTGATTCATGATCTATGTACTGCTAATCAAAAGCTAAACAACTGGGTCTTTAATCAACATTTCAAGAAAACAGAAAAAGTGAGAGGTCTGGAAGGTTGATGCAACAGCAGATCTTTAATGTATTCTGGTGTTAGGACGTTCAGTGATTATAGACTCTTATCTCAGTGGAAAGACTTTAGACCTGGATGATGTGCTCGAGCTTCCTGGTTCTAGTCAGAACAGCAGCAGCAGCATTCTGGATCAGCTGCAGCTGGAGGATGGATTTTATTTAAACAGACATGTGAGACACTGTTGCAGTAATCAATGTGACCACCATTAAACGCATGGATGAGTTTCTCTAGATCTTACTGAGACATTAGTCCTCTGGTTAGTTTCTGTTTAGCTGAAGAAAGTTATTGATTTGTTTTAAGCATCTTTTCAGTGATTGGATGGGATTAGTCACCTGGTGACATAACAGAGAGCGCTGTATCATCTGTGTAGCTATAGTAACTTATCACATTACTTCTCACAATGTGAATTATCAGAAACAAAAAGCTATTAAACTCCAGGATTGAATCTTGTTGTACACCTCATGTCACTTCTGTTCACTCTGATGAAAAGTTTCCTATTGAAACAGGGAAGAAATCAAGAACTTTACCAGAGAGTCTCTAGTCTCTGTCATGGTCAATAATGTCTTCTACAAAAAAAGAGCAGAGGTTTTATTGATATACATATTTAAGCGACTTCATAATTATCGACAGTTCATTCATGAGTGAATCACTTTGTTCAACATGGCCTTCTTTCATCTGCAAATTAATTTCCTGTCTGGCTGCACATTCCTTTGGCATCATCAAAGTTGAAATAAGGCAGTGAATTAATGCATTCAGCTTTGATTTGCCTGGACAGCAAAAACATTAATGATGCAGGCAGGTCACACTTAGGGAAGCTTCAAATGAGGGAAAAAACACTTTAAATCAGCAAATATGCAGCATATCGCTTACATGTTTAGTATAAAACATCAGTCAGCAAAAAGCGTGACCTATATAAACAGCTCTTATCACAATTACAGTCACTATTTCAACAGAGCTGAGTGAGGAAGTGTTGCTTAGCCTGTGCTGTCATTTCACACTGCATAAAGTCCATTCAGTCCAGAACATTGAGCATAAGCTGACCTGCTTTCATTTCCACTTTTTCCTCACACTGAATGTCTGTGTGGACGTTATCACCTAACGTCAGCTCAGCGGAAACATACATGTGCTGTGTTGCCTCTACAAGCCAATGACAGGACATCTTCATGCATACGCCACACACAGCACACACTCAGTTTCCACTCAATTTTTCCTTCCAAAGTGTTATCGCTCTCCTCAACCTTGAGGGTCATAAATTCCTCCCTGCCTGACCACCATGTAGCCCACTTTTCTGGACTATTGCACGGAAAACCACTGCAGAGACTTTTTTTTTTTTTGCTGTTAACTGCTTAGTGTACAGCACATGCTGTTATGTGGCCACTTGCAGATTTTTTTCATTTTTTTTCCACACCTAAATGTTTCAGATCATTAGGAAAATGAAATATCAGATAAACTTGAGTAATTTTAAATGTAGTTGTCAAATGAGGATTTTACAGTAAAAGTCATCCAAACAAACCCAGTTCTATGAAAACAGAAAGCGCCTCCCCTTGTTAAATCACTTATTGGCTTATTGATCACTTTTCATTGTTCATTTTTGAGACATTTTAGACCAAAACTCTTCCACAGTGTAGAATTCATCCCCAGCTGTTGCAGTGAAACTTGTGGGATAATACTTTTTTTACTTGATGCAAAGTCAAGCAGAATCTTTTTTTAAAACTGAATGTTTATGGACTCAGGTAAATTTTTATAGTGTGTCAAAGTTAGTTTGTTGATCTGTAACATTTATGAAAAAAAGAAAAAAAAAACTATTTCACATGGGCTGTATGTATGGTTGAACACAGATATTTATTAACACAAAATTTAATAAAAAAATTAAAAATCACCAAACACAGATTCACATTAACATTGACCACATAGTCGCACAATTTGACATATCGAAAATAAATTAATCTAATTTTCTGATGAAAAGTTGTGATAATAGGATAATGTGGTTTTTCAGCCATATTAAAATTGGTTTATCTCGCAAATAAATGTGTGATGGGAAACACTTTGTTCACATCACGCAAATCACATGATCAGCAACAGGAAAATTTTTAATAACTCACATCATGACCAAACTTATTCACGTGTGATTTTAATTGTGCCTCGTATTTAATGGAAACACTGCAATAGTAGAATTCCCTGTTTTTTTTTGGGGGGGAGGGGTTACATTAGCAGAATATCAACACTATAATGGAAACACAGTTACTGTCTGAAGTAAAATCAGATCAAAACCTTTCACCCAAGTCATGCATTTAAAAGACAGTTATCCCGGATACTGACCAGATGGATGTAAAACTTTTGAATTCAAAGAGAATTAGAAAAGAAATTCTAAAAAAAAAATCCTGCAATATTTTCTGGCATTTAGCAAATATAATTAATTTTGTTGATTTTAACTAAGTTAAAACAAGAAAAAATTTGGTCCAATTGACCTTCAGACACTGAGAAAAAAATGTGTGTGTCTTTTTATTCAGTGAATGTAAATATCCGCTTAAACTGTGTGTTGATCGTTGTTCTTGTTGAAACGGGGCTGCAGAACTGGACAGATGTTCAGTCTGTCACAGTTTAACCCACATGCTGGGAGATTCCCACCATCCGTTCATAAAACATTTTAAAAAATCTCTAAATTCTTATATTGGTTTTCATAATTGGACCTGTGTATAGTTTAAACTGTCTGTTGTATATTCAAAGTCTTATGATTATGGCTAAAACCATATGCTGATAATACTCTAACCATTTCTTCAAGTGAAAAAAGAAAAAAACTAAACATTTTTAATCTGAAAAGTCAAATCCCACTTCCAATTTAACAGAGGTTGAATTGCATGCGCTGACAGGCCGAGTCATTTCCTAACAGGCCAGCCACACTTTTAAGACGGCAGGAGTGTAAATGAGTGATGTTGTTCTGGTGGGTGGCTTTTTTTCTTTCCTTGCAACATTTGAGTAGAAAAACAAGAAAAGAAGAAGAAGTGGAGCTCACTCTCTCAGCGCTGCAGAGACCTGGGTTCATTACCAGGCTGCACTGCTTCTGCTTTTGTCTTTATACACGAATCTGACACAAGTGGCTGTGTGTTCGCGTGTGTGTGTGTGTGTGGGCAGTCGGTGAGGGATCGCTGTCTATGTACTATCACCCTTCTAGTAGTTGGTGCCTGTGCAAAGGAAAATACATCCTATTGTGTCAGTCTGAAAGATGGAAGAACAAAACAAGAAGAAGAAGAAGTTATGTTGCCTGCAGTGATAACAACCAGAGAACATATCAGTGTCAAAAAGGGGGAGAAGAAAAATGCTGCACAGCTCTTATTTAGGAGAGTACTGCCTGCGCTGCTGGAACTCTGATAAATGATGTCTGTTGTTAGTCTCACGCCAGTTGGATTTTCTTTCTCCTCTCCAGCTCCAGTCCTTCCTGCAGGTCAGCGTGTTCCAGGTCCGGGTGGACGAGTGTCCCGGTTCGGAGTGCACCGGCTCCGGCGGCTGTACCAGCGTGCTGGAGGTGCGGGACGCGCCCACGGTGGTGGACTGCGGCACCATGAGCCTGGTTTCCGTCATGGTGGAGTCCAAGGCTGTGTGCTCCTGCCCGGGACGGGAGCAGTCCCATCAGCCCTGCGCCTCGTATCCCAGAAACCCCTGCTTCAACGGAGGGCTGTGCATGGACACGCAGCACGGCTACAGGTGGGTTCCTCAGGACCGGAGGGAGCGGCACGCACACTTCTCCTGCATCGTCATCATCATAAAGCTTGGTGGTTGTGCGCCAGGACAGTCATTCATCTAGCAGCCCGTCGTGTTTTTGAATGAAAAAATTTCTGAAGTTGACAGAAAATTTTTAAATATCTCTTGATAATTATATGTTAATGAAAGACTGGAAGACCAACACTTGAATCGCAACTATAAAATCTTTAAAAATGCTAAAAATGTAAAAAAGAGACTTGAATAAGTAAGCAATGCTTAGCCTGGTGGGGGCACAAGTAAAGACTGGAGGCCCACCAGGCTTATAATACATCAGGGAATATACTAGGACCTACTTAGTTGCAGGTTACTGTCTTTTTAATAAATTATGATGTTTTAACACCTAAAATAGTTGTAATTGTCAAAATGAATGACACACTTTGAGACGAGTAAAAAGGCATTTTACTCCACTCAATACACATCCACCACACTAGACCCTTGTCCAATGTAGCATAAATCAAAGGTGTGGACATTTCCAAGTTATTTTGGAAGGAGTGGCTGGGATGAAACTTTTAGATTTTTCATAAAGAATGGAAAAACTCATATACCGAAGGTTTTCCTGAGATCAATTTCCTCTTTAGAGAAAAGCTGCTTTACTTATCAGTTCTGGACACATTCCACTGCTGTTCCCAGTGATGTTTGCACACTTTCATTTCCCCCTCTGCAGCCCTGCAGGGCCATTAGGAGAAATAAGCTGGGGGCATTAGGAATTAGATAAAAGCATGGTAAATAAATGAGGGCGGTTGTAAGCCTCCGTTGCTGATCCCGCAGCTTTCACGGGGTCAGAATGAGGAGCAGACACAAAAGAATTTCCAAACATTTCTTATTGTGAGGGTAGAGGCAGCGCCGGCTCTCAGCCACTCAGCCATCAGGACCACTCAGCATCTTGAAGGGCTGCATTCAGACAAGAGTGTCTCAGAAAGTGGAATATCTCCATGGTTTATTAAGGAGAACTGGTGGCTGTGAAACCAGACCCAGTTTGACTGGTGGTGCTAATGCATCTTCATCACCACTCACTGATTGCTTGTTGGATTCAGTTCATCTCCAACCTGGCCGGGTTTTGCCTTGCATCACGTCAACACAGCGTTTCTGGGCAAGTTTCATTCTTTTTCAAAGAACCAACAAGAGACATTCAACCTCAATGTGTTCAGACCACAAACCAGCTGGCAAGATCAACAGAACCAACATTTTATGTCTGTTGTTCTGAGGTACAAAGGTTGTTCTGTCTCCCACACACAGAGACCGAGATGTGCATGCAGGTTAGAGTGGAAAAGATAAACAATCTTTAAAAAAAGAAACAATGGGACTTAGCTACCTCAAACTCCGATGTACTTGAAGCATGGTTGCAATGGTAGAATATGAAATTCTACTGAAGATTCAATCTAAAATGATGGTGGTTTAGACTACTGCTGGTCAAAGTACACATATGCTTTGTGTGCAGGGACAGATGTAAGGGGATGGGGGCCTGAGGGCTTAAGCTGATCTATAGGCCCCTTCGCACTTCAACCTTTTGGAAATATTTCAAAACTGGACCTTGGCTTTCAAAAAATATTTTATCAGTAGGAGTGGGACATTAGTATATTTATTTTGATTACATAATTACATGGATATTAGCAAGCTAAACCTTTTTGGCTACATCTGCCAACGACAATTAAAAAACGAAGCTGCTTCTCTTGTTTTTTTTCCCCAAACAACGATCTGGTAGGACGCTTGAAAAGACCGGATTTGAATGTACAGCATGTGAGTTTAAAGACGTCTGAGCTGTAGACTCTTTAAAACACATTTTCAGGAGATCTGTCTGAACCCCAGCACTTATTGCCTCTGTCTGTCTGACTTACTGTCAAAATGTCTGTAAACCTTCTTCTTGCCTCGAAATGCTGTGAGTAGGTCAGCCGCCCTCTGCTGGTTACAGTTATTACTGCCGACTTTCAACAGAACCTCAGCTTTAATAGCAGACAGTAAGTTTGTGTGGTTAACATATACACCAGCAGAATGTTTTGTTTTTCACATGTGTCTCTTACTTGAGTAAAGGAGTGAAAAGAGTTTTGCAAAGTTTCTATCTCAGGATGAGAGACAGCAGGGCTCAGTTTGGCAGTGTTTCTCAAGCTTTATAAACAGGATTGAACCAATAATTCTACATGACTTTCAAAACCTCGCTGAAAATCATCCCGAAGTTTTAACAGAAGATTGAGCCAATTAACCAAGGGGGCTCAAGGACCTGTTTTATCTTTACAGTTATCTTTCCTGGTGCAAAACTAAAAACATTACGTAAAAAATGAAGGACAAAGTACAACTCCAACATACTTCTGTTTCCTGGTTTCACACTCTCCTAGATGAAAGATGTTAGCTGTCACATAACGCTTCTTCTTGTGCCAAAGACTAAATGTCTCTATTAGCATAAATTACTTGTAAACAAGACCATGAGTGAGGTGAACACCTTTCAGCACATCATTAACTACATATATTGTTTCTGACATGAGCGATTTCAAGTCTCGGTGAGTTGAAGGAAACGTGCTGACCCTGTTTGACGCCGGCGCTGTTCAGCCCGATGCGCTGCCTCATCCTCAGGCTCCGCTCTGCAGATGTGGAAGTGATGGGCTCTTTGCAACCAATTAAATCCAACATCAGTGACTGGGATCATGCTTTTATCACATTCTTAACTTTAAGAATGTGATAAAAGCACATTCATGCAAATTTTGCATGAATGCAGTTTGCATTCATGCAGAATGCAATGCAATGCAATGCAAACTGTGCTTCATAATGAAATTAAACTGTTCTGGCGTTGGCTTAAGAGGAAAGTACAAACATTCCTTAAAAATGTGACCCAGCTTCGCTCTAATGTCTGATCAAGGCAATGTTGGGAAACTTGATGATTTTGTTCAAAATCTCACTTTCATCAAGTACAGCTGAGAAATGATCATTTCTAGAGTTCAAAACACCTCAAAACATATTAGCTAATCTGAACACAACTTATTACTGTTAACGCTGCAGTTGTAAACGAGTAGAAAGAGAAATGTAGCTGTATAGTAGCAGTGAGACAAAGTAACTGTTGGCCTTTGATAAATGTTAATGGTATGGGCTGTGAGAAATCTAGTAATGAAAGCACGAGTCAGCTTTGAGACAGAGACCTTGAAATTAGCTTTCATAAAATAATACTGAGATAACCTGAAAAATACATGATTTACTACCAGCAGATTTTATCCTTCAGAATTAAAATTACAAGTTGAACAAATACATGACACTGAAGGCCCACACACACACACACACACACACACACACACACACACACACACCCACACACACACACACACACACCCACACACAACCCACACACACACGCACACACACACACACACACATCTGCTTAACAGATGTTAGTGAACAAAAACCTCCGTCACACGTGTCCACAAAGCTTTCTTCGCTGGACTTGCAGAAGGTAATTTTACCCTTCAGCTTCATTTAATTAGAAGCAGTGAGTGAAAAGGCCAGGATGTGAGCCTGGCTGGCAGGGCTAGCATGTGGCTCACTGTTGGACCTTAACAGGATGATTCACTTGCTTGATGTTAGACTTCATCCCAGAATTATTTCCCATGCACACACATACACAACCGCACATACGCACACAAGTACACACCAATTTACACTTGCATGCAAACTTTTTGGTGGTGGAACTCCATTCAGATTTTTAATGCAGGTCAGGGTCGAGTCTGTAGCTAATCACGTTTTAATTAAAAACTAAATCAGCAAGATTTTCAATTGAAAAACAATTTCTGCTGGTGAATTATTGAATAAATAGACATATGAGTTCAACAACAGATGTTTTTAAACTATTTAAATTTGTTAAACTGTTATTTAAATTTGTCAACCTTCAGATTCATGCAAAGTGTTATTCTATTCCTTAATCTTTGCAGTGTTTCAGAAACTCCTGATCGTTCATGAAACTTCTTTGGGAAGCTGTGGACTGTTGATCTTAGCGTTGGGAACGTCTGAGCTGCTGCCGCATGCTTAGCATTAAGATCCTATTTTAGCCTTGAACACCTTCACCTCCATGCTAACTCTTAATAGCGCAATTTGAGCATAACAATAGTCCTAACCATAAGATCAGTTCAGAAGCACAAATTAACTCTTACTGGGTCAAGAGAAGCAGGTTTGTCATCCAACATTGTGGTTTTTGCAGGTGACACTTTTGCAAAAACAGAGGGTCCCATCAGAATTTTGGTTGTATAAAAAATACATAAACCAGTGATTCCCTGCTTTAAAATTTTTAACATGTTAAAAAAGTAAAAAGTAAAAGTAATTTTATTAATATAACACATAATTAACATGTTACAGTCTCAGCCTTAAAGAATATTTAGTTTCTATCAATCTTTCTTCTTGAATTTTTATAACTTTTGCAAAAATTTAATTTGCAAACTGCTTTACATTATTTGAGCTTTTCCCATGTTTCTGACTCTTTAGAGATAATCAAACATTTAACAACTAGAAACAAAACAAACCAATATTAAAAACACAAGTAAACCAAAAAACAATTATCTCCTGGTAATTTCATGTCTTGCAGTGTTGGACTGATTTGTGATTGCAGGCCTTCTTTTTGAGCGGCAGCCTACAGTACAGTGAGCACATAGCCACCAGCTAATGACAGCATGTGGGCGAGCGGACTTAAAAAACAGCTCATTTGAAATTACTGTCTGCTCCCTCCTTTTTTTCTTTCTCTTGGCAAATCTGGTCAACACTCACAAACCGGCTTGCTTTACCAAACACAGATCTGATACATGCAGTCTTGCAGCACAAACTGAGCAGAGATTGGCCTACTCTCATTTCCTGTGTGGGGGACCATAGGGTTGGACACTCATTTGGTATTTTTTCAGGAAGTACAGTATGAGCTTTCATGTGATTAATATATCCAAAGATGTGCAGCAGCAGTTGCTCGTTGACCCAACCAAACCAAGATGAAGACTAAGCTAATTTCAAGGCAGAAAGAAGGCGCTGAAACTACTGATCCTCTAAAGTTATGCACGAATCTGCAACCTGCCTTTAAATGCAGGTTGCAGATTTTATTACAGGGATTACATTCAAACGTTTCACAAATGTCACAGATATAATTTATTTTGGGGCTTAAGTGGCTATCCACGAGGCCAGTGGTGCGCAGGAAGTACATAGCTATAAATCATTGATTGCACATTACTGCTCCAACACAAAGCCTGACGCTGGGAGAATATCCTGCCATCCATCCATCCATCAAGCCTCTTGTCTGTTGGTCGTATACCGTTTTATCCTGGTTGCTGTGCCAACAGCTTTAGCAGATATCCCCAGACAACCTTCTCCCCTTGTAGCTCCTAGAGCTCATCTGATAACTGATATAATCTCTTCAGAGACACAGAGGGAGATGTGTCACATCACAGTAGGACATGACATAAACACCTCTGTTGAAGATTTTGTCGAGCTGGCTCCTTTTGGAGAGAGAAGTTTCTCCCCAACAGTCAACCAGCTCACGACGTCTCTAAGAGGAAACTCATTTCAGCTGCTTGCGTTGTTTCATTTAGTAGCAGAGCTAAACGTTTATACACTGAGTGGCCAGAGAGTGAGCAAAGCTTTATCTGGAGGTTCATACACTAATAAAGAAAATACACAGTTTTTCCGATCTTGTAAGTAAAGAATATCCAAGATCAGAATCCTTCTTCTGATTAATATGTCATTGTGCAGAAGAGATCAGGTAACCTTGTGACACATCAATGATGTGTAAGGAAGAACATCAAACTGTAAAACATCATTCTTGAGCTTTCGGGTGTATTCACGCCAGTCCTGTTTGCTTTAATAGAACTTTTCTTTGTTTATCTAGAAAGTCCAGTTTGTTTGGGGAAGTGTGTTTCTTTCAAAATAGAATTGGTCATTTATTCCTCACCAGAAATGTCTTCATTTATCATAAATGCAATAAGATTTCTGCATTTATTCATACTTCTTGACGATCCCAGGTGAGCCTGCAGTCGTATGTTTAAATGTTTAGAAGTCTAAACATTTGAAGGAGTCAGTTGAGGGACATTTGAGGGAATCTTATTGCCATGGTTTGGATCCAACAGTCAGGAAGGAGTCACTGCAACTAGTTCGAAGTTGTTCTGTTTGTTCCCACATACATCCTGTGGTGAAACATTTTGACCTCTGACCTATTATATTTCATTGGCGGTGAATCTGAGGTTAAAGTTAGGGAAATACAACCCCCCAAAAATGAAGGACATACTGCTTTATGAAGTATGAACCAAACAGATGTCAGGGTGAGAAGAAGGTGAGATTGCCAGGCCTGGGTCACAGCTGCTGTATGATTGTCATATTTCCAATAACTTCAGAATACCTGAGACCTGCAACATCTGCTGTAGGATCTCTGAGAGGAGACTAGATCAAATGTGGGATATTAGAAACTGAAAAACTTAAATTAGAATGTGGAAGACAGGAAGAAATAAAGAGAACTTTAAGGCCAGGAAGGTGTGTCAGTGGTAGGAAAACAGAAAGGTAGGGAGAGAAGAAAATAAAGTTTGAGGATATTGAGAAAAAAGAGAAACACGACGTGAGACGAAGAAAGATGGAAAATGTTTTTGTGGCGTAAGAAACAGAAGACAATATATGATAGGGAGCAAAATGGGAGTCAAGATAAAAGTTTTAAAAAAAAACAACATAAAAAACAGTGTCAGAGAGGAGAAGTGAGGTGGCACGAAATAACACAGAGATAAGAATTAATAAAAAGATAAAAGTGCTGCAGGATAGTTTTCTGCTTCATAGGCTTCCTGATACGACCCCACCACCCCACACATACAAACAGATCACAAGTCACAATTGACGGGAGAACATGTAGGTAATCGATGCACTGGGATTAATAATGAGATTTCAGGAGCAAGACATTTGAAGGGGGAGGACTGGGATTACGGCACCCCGGCCCAATTTCCAGCTGACAACGAAAGTAGCAAAACAAAGCTGCCGTAAGAGGATTGGAAGGTTTGAACCAAAAACCTTCTCAGATTGAGCACAGAGAATTAGAGTGACATTACAAAAATGGAAATACAAGCATGTGGGTTTTTCCTTGGGTCTTGATTACACTTCACTGAAGATGTTTTTGTTGAAACAATGGAAATCATGGACGTCCTTAGCCAGTTGTTTTTAATATTCATCATGTCATTAAAATGTACACAGAAGGCCAAAACTGAGACTCAGGCTGCGGTGGTGTTACTGTTAATATTACTTCTGTTTTAGGGTGGGGTTATTATCCTGCTGCACAACACAACTGCTCAAAGATCAAAACAAAGAGGTTAAAATGTGTTAGCAATGACATTACCCTCATAAACATATGCTATGATTCACTGAAAAAGCTGCATATTTTATTTTGTTAAATAGTTATGTCAGTGAAAGTCTGTGTAATATGCCTCTAAAATCATGGACAGCTTTGTGTTTGTGCTCTGGATTTCTCCTCATTCATGTCTGAAGAAACCAGACAGAAAACTGAGAACAGAAATAAAAGAGGATTTGTATGAGAAATGAGCTGTCTAGGAAACACCAGAGACCAAGTGTGTGTGTGCGTGTGGTGAGTGCAATAGCATACTGATGAACTGGAGAAGAAGTTTCAAGAAGTTGGTCTCTGAACGGCATGTGAAGGAGGCAGTGCTGCCACTCGTAATGCGTAGCACACAGAGCACTAAGAGCACGACGTGGCCTGGGAGTTTGGGGGTGGAGGCACCAAAAAATCAGGTTTGTGAAAGAAAATTTGAATAATAAAAACCACTTGTGGCCGAGACCGCGTTCAGAGCAGCAGTGTGCACCGCTGTGTAGCAGCTGGAAGAGAAAAGCAGGATGAAATTATTTTACTGTTGTAGACAAAAAAAAAAAAAAAAAACGTTGCAATTTATCATCTTACATGCAGCTTTCACCACTGAAACAACAACATCGCATGGCTCTGATCTGTTACCTTCACAACATTTTGTTTCTATACAGCTGCATACTACAGACTAGCAAACCTCTCAAATTTATCATTTTATAGATTTGGTCACAACAAGTCTGATCATATCGTAATAAATATATTTATGATTAGAATATTACATCAGACTAATAAATAAAACTATGTGGGTGTAATGACAAATATATTTTAATATCTGCTTATTCCATACAAGAATGTATATTCTGATTTATTGAATACGGTTGAAAAATGTGGGCTACAGACACCTGTGATACATAGAAACAGTTGGTGTTAAATAATAGGATGGAAAACCAATAAGCATGGCTAAGAGAAGTTTGAGTTTGGACCCATTAGTACGTGGAGGCCAACACAAGCACCTCATACAGTGTAATATAATATGTTATGTCTTCATTCCAGCCCTGCTGCACTTTTTGAAACAACTCTACATCTGAACAACAGCGTCTGACACCATAGCTAATTACCGCTCACCTCTTTTATAACTGATTCCTTTCTCAGCTTCAGTCGTACTTATATCTACTCATTAGCTTGGCTCGGCGCCCACCGGTGCAGCAGCTAATTATTCCCCTGCACCAGCTCGCCGTTCCAGGAGTTCAGTCGTTAGCGAACAGGGTTCAGGATCGGGGGTCAGCGGGGATTTTGAGCGCGCAGCGGCACGTCCTCTCATCGGTGTCACGCTCTTCTCTCGGTGCTGGGAGAGAGTGCTCTGTTGGCGCTCCAGTTAATAACGCTTTAGGGTCCGGGTTACCCAGCGTTCCAGCATGGGGTCATGTGCTGTTTACAAGTAACAGGATTTCTGTGATTGGACATAGCTGTTTGATGATCACAGGCTTAAAACTGTTAACACAAGCAACATCTTTTAGACTATGTTGGGTTATTTTCACTTTTTGCCAATCACAAAACCCAACCGAGTCAGAAAAGGTTACGGAGCAAATTGAAACCCGGAGAGCGTAGACAGAAACAAGCACTCGGTGCTTCCACAGAGAAAAGGTAAGAGGTGCATTTTGACAGGAAAGCTATGTAAATGAGACCTTGAACGTCTGAAAATAGTACAAGAGTTTCCTGGTGATCCAGTGATTTCCCCCTGCGGCTTTGCCACTAATGAGAACATCTGCATCTGTGGAACATACGGAGTATGAGTGATCTTCGGAAGGGGGGCGTCGCCTGAGAGTCGGATGCAACTGTGAACTTGCAGAGAGTGGGGGGGTTCAACACACTGCCAGAATCATGTAAAAATATTAGACACAAATGGGATCCAGAAACAGTGAGGGAGATTGTGCTTTTTAAGTTACATAACCGACTTCTCTGGAAATGCCACTAAAAGCCAAATTACACATTTATTGCGTTTACTAATTCATATAATTTCTTCTTTTTGATTTTTCCTTCTTCCCAAGGTGCCAGTGCCCCGCTCAGTTCGAGGGACCTGAATGCCAGCAGAACAAGCACAGTTTCCATGGCAATGGCTATGCTTGGTTTCCTCCTATGATGCCTTGTTTTGAGAGCCATGTGTCGCTGGAGTTTATCACAGACGTGGCTGATGGACTGCTGCTGTACAGCGGCCCACTGGCACAGCTGCAAGCCTGGGACCACGAGGACTTCATGGCCATAGGTAGGATACACAGACACTTTGGCTCAATAAAGAGGACATGCTTTCCACCTTTTTATTTATACAACATTGCAGTGGAAGGTAGCTGCACTGAATAAAATTAGACCAGAAAGTCTGCCAAATGTAAGGGAAAGGTGACATTTCTCACTTTAAAAGGAGCCAGTGACGGTTCTCCAATTGCTACCTACTTAGCTTCAGCCTCCCACTTTGCAAGACGTGTCAATATGATAAGGCTATATGGTTCCGTCACATCAAAACTGGAGTTTATATGGTAATGTAAGGGAAGTGAATAACTGAGAGGGAGGTGAAGTACTTTGGAAGAACGGATGGACTTGGTTGAGGTGTATTCCTTGTTCTGCACATTTGGGAAAATAATCTTTCTCCAGCTCAATCCTTTATCTTTAGGGAGTTAAGTTTAACGCAGAGTTGTTCAGTGAACGCAATGAATGTCTGACTGAGTTGCAGAGAAATGATTGTTCAGTCCAGTTTGGAAGAATGAGCTTCTGTCAGTCTGCTTGATCACGATCATGTACTGGCTGCTGAAATACAAACACATGGTTCCTTCCTTCTTTCCAGGAGTACAGACATCCAGTAATGATGTATTTTGTATATTTTAAAATGAACCCACAGAACTAAGATATCTTAAAAGTTGAGTTTGAAAAAAAATATACATGAAAAATGCGTAGGAGCCCTGAAAGCTTACATCTCCCAAATATGGGCCCAAACTCATGATTGAGTGCTATTACACAGCTGCATGAAGGAAAACTCACATGCCCATATTTTATCATACTTCCCCTCGCCTAGATAATGTGTTGAACCAGATATTTCACAAAGATTTATGGCGGATTGTCTGTACTATTGTCTGGAGTGACTGCACCCAAATTGGGAGGTTGAAGAGAAAAGATGAAGTTGGCAGCTACAAAAGGACACCTCAACCTACATACTGTTACATATGTAGACTTCATGGGGGAAAGCAGAAAGTTTTGGTTGAAAAGAACTTGCTGTCAAGGTGACTGTTACTATAAACTCAACAGAACCGAAATGGAAACGCTACTATAGCCACATTAGCAGCATTGAATTAAATCTCCGGTTTGTTGTGCATCTCTGCACTCAGTGCAGCTGATTTAACTCATCCTGCAGGGCCGGTCCAAGGCTGTTTGAGGGCTTGAGCAGAATTTGACTTCGGGGCCCCTCCTGCTGCAAAAAACATCAGCACCTCAAAGCAGTTTACTAGGTTGTACTTCTGAACAAATAGATCTCAAACTCAAAGATTAAACTCACAGGATCAGAGTGTAGCTATGGTAACAAAACAATCTAAGTATGAAGATTGTTCTTTGAACTTTTACAAAGTAAACTTGCCAGCTCCTTAAAATCTTAAATTTAAATGTTAACCAATTTAAATAGTTTAATTTATTTATACTGAAACCATTAAATCAAATTCAGCAGCACTGATAACCTCAATAAACAAATGTTGTTACATTTATGTATCTTTGGTCATAAATGGAGCTGCTGACTTAATTTGGTTTAAACAGAAGTGCAACTAATTGATATTCATTTTAATTGTATTTTTTTATTAGTTATTCTTAACACTACTCGTGGATTTAAATAACATTTTACTGGTGATGTCTTCCCTTTACATAGGTAATATTTTTACCTTTCTTGTCTACTTAACATTTTTTAATAGAAAAACGCGGCGGACCGCCTCGGTGCCCCTGCGACTGGGCTTAGCAAGTTTTCTGGGGGAAACCCTGGTGATGTTTGGAGTTAAAATGACAAACCTCTCTTTTTTCACTGCAGCTGTGAAAAAAGAGAGGTTCACAATGTATTAAGAGAACAAAGCCAGTTTAATAGAGAGCAGGATTTATAGACAGATAAAACAAGAGCAGGAAGTGTTGTAGATCTTAGTATATTTAGTGTTTTAATCTGATAGACTAACACCTCCTCATATCTCTTGCTATTCCATTCCTTGCACCGGGCTGCTCTCCTGGGAGAGATGCTGTTGTTCTATCACTGCCAAAGTAATAAGTGTGGGAGGGGAGGTCCGTAGGGAGAGATGGGTGTGTTGTGTCTGCGTGTGTGTGTGTGTGTGGATTTTTGGGTGCATGTTACTGGCAGGTTTGCTGTGTAATTCCTGAATGATTTCATTTTGCTCTTGTTGTTTTGTTGCAGAGGGTGTTTTGGGGTTTATTGGGTCGTAAAGACTTAGGATTAGGTTAGTTGAGTCGTTAGTGCGATCCATGTGCAGCGTGTAATTAGTCAGGCTGTATATATTTAGAGCTCTAATTAACTTGTTTCAAGGCTGACCTGGTGCATGTAACAAACCCATCAGGGAGCCCAGCCTGTGTTAGAGGCTCATGCTACAGAATTATAGATGGTTTAAAATTGTTTTACTCATCTTTGTGTGTTTGGAATGTACAGATAGAGCAGGAGTAATGAAGAGATAGAAGCTCAACTTCAACGTGTTAAATTATAAAGTCACAGCCGAGCAACTGAAGGTAACAAAGTTACCTGATTGAGTTATTAAATGGCACCATGTGCCTGCAAGAAAACATAATTCTGCTCCACTTAAAACTGACAAATAAAAGAAAAATGACTGACCTTTATGTCAGTTGTTGTGTAGCTATTACAAAAATGTACCTGCAGATTTTTTGGTTGCTATCTGGGTTCATATTTTTACAGGCTGGAAGGATCTGGTTTGTCCTGTTCACATTCCTCATTGCCTTTTTCTTCAGGACAAATAATACTTATATGCACTATGCTGCAGAGCTGTAGCTCTTCCAAAGACACCCACTCAACCAACCCTGTTTCCCTGCCGAAGGGCAGCTGCGCCAAGCCGGCCCTGCTGTGCATGCCAGAGAAAGTGGAAGGCATTCGCATAGAAACACTGTCAACACAGCAGTGGGCTGTTTCCAGTCTTTAGGCACTTGGAAAACAGGATATTACATGAATTGAACAGAGTGTAATGTTTGTGTATGTAGAGGCCAAAACGGTATCAAAAAAAAAAAAGTCCTCTCCTGACCTCTGGTAGATATTGAATTTAAAATCAGCATACTTTCAGAAAAACATAAAGCCTTAGATTAGCATAAATGTGTTTCCGATTTAAGACGGTCAAAAAAGTTTCCACATCAAGAGATCCAGATTTACCGCACTTCATGAAGGATTCATTTTTTTTATTGACCAATGGAGAACACATATTTTATTCATGGGAGTAGCAACACAGAAAATAAAATCATAAAGTGGAAGTCACGTCACTTGCTCCAACAACATTCTAGCCTAGAGAGCCTGCTTGGGTTTTAAAACATAACATTTACCTTTGGATAATACCCCACAAACTGTTTAGCTTATTTGTTAGTCAGAATATAGTGTACATTGACAAAAGTATTATGAATTATTAAATAACTGATATTCATTTAAATTGTATTTTTAAAATAATTTTTTTAAGCTTCACAATATGCTATAATATTATTTCTTCATCAAAAACATACCTGAAATGACATTTTGATTCATTCATGCATGTTTAAAAAGTCCCTTAATCTCCATCTCAACCATTCAGGGGTCCATAAACACTGGCTCAAACAATACAATCCCTATTTCCCCAAAGCTCCACTTTGGAGCTCCTGCCTTGGAGCTCCTGCCTTTCAAAACCACCAATTCCCCCACACCTCTGCCTCTCAGTTCCTTCAGACTAGTGTCAGCAGCAAGTAGCAAACACCTGCTGGAGGTGGCAAGCTGAACTCATTATCGGATGTTAACGGCACAATGGAGAAACATGAAGACTGTTCAAGAGACAGAGACCAATTTCAAGTATTAAGGTACAGCTATGATGCAGTCTAATTTTCTTTCCAGTTATTTTTGATAGACACATGATTTTCATAACAACTTCAGGTATTATAATTATGTGATCAACTGTGTCTGGAAAATAAATAATATCCCCCTTCAGTTCGTATGCTTTTTATTGAATCAGGATTCCTTTACACTTCAGTGACACCCTGCAGGGACTAACGCCTTTTTCACATATTGTTTTGAAACATTATGTGGAACATATCATGGATAATACCTCACAAACTAAAAATGATATACAATTTTATATCATTTTACTTTAAGATATAAAATGATACAAGAAATAGGAAGAGATGAGGATTGGACATACAGCAGGGTTCACTCACAGTCTGTAAAAGTCTGGAATTTAATTGAATTATTTTCCAGCTCTAAATAAGAAGACATAAAATAGAGAATTAAATAAAATCACATCAGAACTGTCTTTCATTCCTTTCTAGCGTCCTTCTGCCAGTTTGGCAGAAGGACCAAATTACTTTTGGTAGTTTTGGTTCCAAAGCTACCAAAACTACTGCAGATTTGATAGTTTTAGAACCGTGCAGGGAAACCAGAGAAACCTACACAAGTTTTCTCCATCAACACATCTTGTTTGCTTAAAGCTGGATTTGGTGAAGGTGCTAAGCTTCCAAACTGACATTTACTTCAGAAACAAACTTCTTCATGGAATGAAGATAAACATATCTATTTTAAATGAGCTATGCTGTAAATAATTTAATTTTTAACTGTAATATTTTTGATAGTGGTGCTCAAATCTTTTTTTCAAATAGATGAAAATCAAGTCTTTTTTTATTTACACTAAGAATTGTTATCTACTCAGCAACAAACTAAACATGGCATTTTGTAAAAAGCAAACAAATTAATCATCACAAATACTGAACACAAAAAGGGTATCACTAATTTGCCTTATTAAAAGAAAGACAAACAGTATGCTTGTTTTTGTTTCTGTTAAACCAGTTTGTGTATTGTGTATATTTTGTTTTCAAAAATGTCATCTCGTAGATATACATATTTTAGAAAGTGCCTGTCAGCTACCAATTTTGTCCTTGAACAAAACCATATATGGTCAACGCACTCGATTTCAGACACAGCAACTGGGACATTAACATTGATCTACCCATCTAATTCAAGTGATATCTAAAATAATAAAATCTAATTTGATAAACTAC